GGCCTCTGCGTCAGCAGCGGTTCGGGAGAATCGAGGCGCCGCAATTATAACTACGAAACTGCGCAATGTGGAGTACATCAGAGGCAGTTTGCCGAGTTGAAATTGATCGCTCGGCTCTTTGTGCAGCGTTAGGAGGGTAGTAAGAGCCGTTAATGCGCGAGAGGCACGCCAGCCATCATCCACCGGCGACGGTTTATTGAAACTCGGCTGCCTTCTTTCACGGGGTGCGTTTGTTGTCGTTGCTTTGCCACCTGTGCGCTCTATGCGTGTTTATATTTTCGGGTGACGATAAGTGCACGATGGATTCACACGTGTACAATGAAACTGGGCAAGGTGGGGCTGCTGAGTTTCAATGGAGCGCTTAAAAAGCCGGTTACGCCGAATGGTGCCGTGAATTTCAATACTCGTTCGTTCGTCCGCTGCTGCAGCAGCTCGAGTATATAATGGAACAATGCGATTGCAGAGCAGTGGTAGTGGTAGCTGTAGTAATCCCGTGAACGAGCTTTAAAAGACTATAAAAGGTGAAATACTCGGTAAATCTTTCAACGCGTCACGGCGATAATTTCGCTCGCAATGAATCGCGTGTCCAATCTTTGGGACCTTAACGAGATTCCTATGCAATGGCTGCCTCGAATTTGGTGGAGTGCGTGTATACGCGGAGATGCATGAGAGAACCATTGCGATTGCCGTTGTTGTTGTTGTTGTTGTTGCTATAAAAGTTTGCCAAACGGTCGGATAATTGAAATGTTGCAGTAATTTACTCGGGTGTCCTTTCGACGTTTCGAAAATTCATTTGGATGATACAAAAGTATATTTTCCATTGTTTATCGAAACATCAAGTCTGACCATACTCTGGTCGTACTACTGGAAAATTAATGAATACTTGGTTCAATTTGTTGTTAGCAGCAGTTGTTACGGCGTACAAGCAGTCATCAACGTTATTAATTGTTTCGTAGAGAAAAATATAATTATGTAGTTTTTATTGATCTCGGCTGACCGTACAATGATTTTACTACTGAAAAAGCACTGAATTAGTTGATCACTGGCAGTATTTGTTGTGGTGTACAAAAAACGTCATCTTTCAACGTGTTTCCACACGGGAAATTTGGCAGTATACTTTTGATTGTGTATTGAAAAAGTTTGGCTGACTATAAGTTTATTATACTACTGAAAAAGCAGTACAAAAATTTACTGTAACAGAGTTTATTACTGGCAGCATTTTCTATGGTACTCAAAAAATAGTATACCAACAAATCGTCATTTCTCGTGTTTCCACACGGAGACTTTAACATCATACGTCTAATTATTTATCGGAAAATCATGTCCGACCATACGTTGATTAAACTACTGAAAAAGAAATGCAATCATTTGGTTTATTCCACATTTCCTATGGTGTACAAAAAAATTTATACAACGTGTTTATAAATTGATAATTCGACTTGCTTTCATTTGTTTGCCGTTAAAACCATGTCTGACTATACGTTGATTAAACCACTGAAAAAGCACTAAAAAAAATATGTATTTTATTGTTCCTACTGTTTGCTGTGTCATACAGATAATTTTTTTTTCGTATCATATAATTTGACAGAATACTTTGAATGGTTTAAAACAATCACTTCTGACCATACGGTGTTTGTACTACTATTAAAAAAAAGTATCTAGTTTATTGCTGGCTGTAGAATTTACTAGGGTGTACAGTAAAGAAACATAGTAATTTATCACGTTTTCTCACGAGTAATTCCACATTATAAATTTGATTTTTAATCGAAAAATCATGCCTGACTATACGTTGATTGTACTACTACTGAAAAAAAAAAAAAAAATCAAATCCTTGTTCAGTTTACCGTTAGAAGCATCTGTTATAACGTATACGGAGATGTTCACTTGATACTTCAACAACAATGAACTTCCACATTAAACACTGTATATAGCTGCTTATTACCGATTTGATCTTGTTACTCGACCAGTTGAATCGCCTAAAAAAAAAAAAAAAAGCCGATACCTGACACTAGTGGCCGAGAGCTTAAAACTCGTTCACCCCTGCCATCGATCTCCTGCACTTTCAGCAGCATCGAAAGCTCGGAAGCTTTCCACGTACACCAACTCGCGATGCCTGTCGCAAGATATTAATCTCGTATACGGCCCCGTGAAACGATTTGCAGTTCCATGATGCCGAAAGCGAGCGAGCCTCCATGGCATGACTCTGTATTTACCGCGTGGGATTGGATTTGGTCCGCCTGCCTGGCCGACACTACCTACGCGTCCGTCCTGTGTATATAAACCCGGGCTCCCGGACTTTGCTCCTAACTGCAGAGCACGCTACTCATCGGGACATACGCGCCCTTCGCTTGTGAGGTACGTGCGTGTATATATATATACATGATGGGTACGTAAACGAGCGTGGTATTACTCGACAAGAGACATGGTGGATCGTCGTGCGTTGCTTGGAGTGTGTGCGTATGATTTTTTTTTTTTTTTTTTTTTCTCACCCCAAACCATCGATGTCGCAAAATCAGACACACACACACCCGCGTTCCCGAAACTTTCCACCTCGTGCAAATATATGGCAGTCGAACTGACCAAGTTTTCTTTTTTCCCTTCTCCCCCAACACACAATGTACCACTACATACAGCTGCACCTACTTATCGTTAGCAGTCGTCGGAGAGTTTCAAACCGCAGGTCTCGCGTATATATACCCACCCGCACAAGTATATACACATATATGGTATACAGATGAGAGGCAGTTGGTTGATCAAAGTGACTTTCGCGCTTCGGAGTTCGGGAGATGAGGGTTTTCGTCGCAAATCGTGCGCGAAAGGTTGCAAAAGTTGCAGCTTTTACTTCTTGACGTGTAAGAGCGCAGCTGGTGCGATTGCCACTGTATACATGAAGCCGAGCTCGGGGGCTACCAGTTGAACCAATGTAGCCGCGAGTACCCGAGGGGAGAGAGTATAACGGAAAATGAAGGAGCACGAGAGTTGCACGAGCTCGGAAGGTAGAGGATTTTTTTTTTTTTTTTTTAACTCATCATTAATTTGGTTTTGGGCTGTACAGAAATGGAGAGACTCGAGCAAGCGCTTCGGCGACGAGGACAATAAAGCAAAGCGAGCGGGGCCACAGAGGTTTGACGCCATAACTCAAACTTCCGGCAAAGTTGTAATCTCGAAGTCGAGTCTAGCTATGTGCGCGCGGGGGGGGAATGGCTTGAGCGCCGAAAATCGCGACCTCCACCCTTTTGCTGCATAGTTCAATTGTTGTTGTTGAGTCGAGAAGTTGCTCGGGAATTTTTGGATTCGCTCGAGCTTTTTTTTCATTGATGTATCGTTGTTGTTTTTTTTTTTTTTTTTTTATTTTTATTTTTGTTTCCCGCGCGAGTCATCCGATCGGAATGACGGTAAAGTTTTCGGTGAAAGCGCGACGTCCGTTTGCGTTCCGGTCGACTTTGAGGGGCGAAATTTTCTATCTTTCCCTGCGGAGGGTGAATTTGGAGGGGCAAACTGTTGGCACTCGTGTTGGAACGACACCCAAACAAAAAAAAGCCAATAGTATATATTTCACCTGGAGAGTATAAGTACCATAATAACCACTTGCAAAGCTTTTTTTTTTTTTTTTTCACACGCTACATCGATTGAAGATAGAAACAAAGTGTCACTCCTTAATTGCGATCCAAGTAATACGAGACCCCTTGTTTGTTGTCCTTTAAACCAAAAGTTGTGAAAAGTCGCAGCACTGCCTCGTATCAATTCAAACAAATAACTTGGATTTTTTTTTATTTTTTTTTATGTTTAAAGGTATTGTAAATGTAGAGGAGGAGGAGGCGCCACGGGCCCGACGAGCAGGCGTTTTTTTTTAATGCCAAAACAGTGTGTTTTGTGAAATAAAATATTTTAGCAACAGTCGATAAATGTACACACAATACAACTGTATTCTCAATATGTAAGGATGAAGACTGGTTGTTGTTGATGAAATACACGCTTTTTCCCGTGTCGTAACACAAGAAAACTACCCCAAGTAATTTTGTTCAGATTAGAAATTGAAAATGAGTCAGATTTTTCTCCCCTTCAAACTAACATACCTACATATATATTTATTATAATACAAAGCTGCGGATTTTACTAAAAAAAATGAAAATACGAAAATGAAACGACGAAATAAAGATAGCGCATGCCCCAGTATCGATGATTCTGAAAACAATATGTATATTGCGTGGCAAATGGTGACAAATTGGCAATATTATTATTACAATTGATGTCAAAAGAAAAATATGTGAGTGCGAGAGAGACACACTATGTTAGGCTATGTCCAATATGTATAATACACATCATAAATGAGCGTTTGTTGACTCACTGTATAGAGTTACTGCCAAGCATTCGTTGGTGAGTAGGTGAGTACTGTAAACTTCTAAGCTACGTAGATACTGGGACTTTTGGCGATAATAACAATTTTTGTGGTGTATTATTTTACTTTTTGTCTCTTTTAGAATTCCTGCTGGTCAGTAAATAATAATGACAAGTACTTTGCAGCAAAAGTAGAATTCAAAGTACAAAGTAAGCAAGAAACAGTTGTAGAACTCCATCTAGTTGAAACTGCGCAAGAGCAGCAAACTACAGTCAAGTGAGTCATATTTTTATTAATTTTAATACATTTTAGCGTAGTGTAAACTATTAGACAAGTATTCGAATTCCCTATTCCAAAGGACGCAACACATACACATTTCATCAATATTTGGGCGTTATGTATATTATAGTAGTACTTTTTAGTTATTTTGATGGCTACGATCAGGATCAGATTATGTTTGGAAGTTTAAATCGAATTACCCGCCCAAAGCCCAAGCCTGCGTCTTCACAGATATTCACACCCCATTCTCATGTAAATCACACTTTGACGCGAGAGAGAGAGACGCAAATGAGGGGTGTCATGAAAACGCACCTTTAAGAAAGCGCGCAACTCTGCAAACGTGCAAACTTATAACTAAAAGTTACAAGCGGCGCGCCATTACTACACTGCACGCTCTTGGAGTAGTCGAAGAGTCCAACAGAGTACTCGCGGGTCAATAAGCTTTTAACAAGTAACAACTCGTCTTCTTGTATCTCAGACTAAAAACATCACACCTTCTCCCGCAAGAGGAGATTAGTTTGGCCATCGAGAAAGCTTTGACAAAAACCGCAAACATTCCGCGCAAAAGCAGCAGCAACAACATGAAGAAGAAGGAGGTCGTGGACGAGGAGGAGATCTCCAATGAGGATACCGAAGAGCATCAGGAGGATGCCGGTTCAGACGAATGGACGCCCAACAATGAGGTACAATTGTTGAACTTTTGTTTTTCCACCTCTCTCGTATCGTCGTCTATTGTTTCGTACTTTCTTCGCATCAGCTCCTAACAGCAAACATGAGAACCTAACCTCACTCAGGCGGCCTCGTCGTGCTCCAAAATATACCCTTCGCGCGTGCTGTCTTCTCTCTCATTTGCTCGCCTTTAAGTACACGCAGCAAGAATGAAAATTCACATGCGTCTCTTACTGGAACAATTATCGCACGACTCATTAGTGTCATTTGTAGTGTTCATTGGGTGCATGTGGTCATCGTCGTCTTTCCGGCCAAAAAAAAAAAAAAAAAAAAAAACAACGTGAATTGCGCACACTTGTAGCCATTGTCCCGATTCCCGACAGTCCGGCTAAAAGTATGTGTTGAACTTTGAGGAGCGCGATGCGGATCATAAGATGTATATAATTTGTACGTTGCGCCATCGTCATGCAATAGTCGACAAGATTTATCGGCATCGTATTTCAATTTGCTTTTATCGCAAGAAAAACAGATTTGTGGTACACATACGCAAACGAATACATTCGCTATAACAACGAAAGCATGGCATCTGTGCTTACGTTTATGTGTGCACTCGTTGATTTGCATGCTTGTGGAGAATCGAAAGTAAAATGTCTACTCAAATACGAAACAAGATGATTAACGTAGTCGCTGAGAAACGTCAGCGTCTCTCATTTTTCAGTTTCCAGTCTTTCCACCGGCCGGCCATTGGAGCTGATATAAGTATTACCTATACTCTATACACTCTCTTTTTCTCTATCCTTATCGCACTCTACTGTACACTACACTCTTTCGTGTTCGCGCTCTCCGCTTCCCCCTTTGTCACAACTTACTCTCGCATCTGGTGTTGCAGGCAATAAATGTAGCAAGTAGCGCCACTAGCGCTTCACTTTGTATATTTTCGTTAAAATTTCACAGTGCACGCTCCAAAAATGAATAGTATAAGTAGTGCCAAAAGTCTTGATAGTTCTAAAAATGTCATGTTTTTTTTTTTTAATTCTAGTCCACTACTCCAGGGAGAAGAGGAAGGCCACGAAGATCTACTGCAGGCAAAAGACGTCATCACTCGGAAGAAGAGGAAGATGAAGATGAGGAGGAAGATGAAGAAGAGGAGGATGAGGATGATGACGACTCCGACTCTGATTCTGGAAAAAAAAACAAGAAAAGACGACGCTCCAGAAAAGAAGAGGATGAAGAGGATGAGGAAGAGGAGGATTCAGATGACAACAACTTTAATGACACAACTGTACCTCCAAAAGACTTTACTGTGAGTTGAGCCACTAGTTCTTTTTTTTTTTGTGTAACCACTAGTGTTTAAATTGTGGTTGTAAAATTATCATTTCATTTTTCAGTCAGGAGCGTTTGTGGTTGCCAAAGCCGATGTCGTGGATGGAAAAGATCCTGTACTGTGGAGGATAGATGGAAAAGCTCTTTTACAGAAATACTTGCCATTTAAGGATGATGGAAAAACATTGTACAAAAGCACATCAACGGTGGGTACTAAATCATGTGATCACGTGTATTTTTTATGATGGAAATATGTTTTCAACATTATAATTTTACTGTTTGTATCATTTAGTATTCCGGTTGGTCAGTAAATAATAAGGACAAGTACTTTGCAGCAAAAGTAGAATTCAAAGTGCAAAGTAAGCAAGAAACAGTTGTAGAGCTCCATCTTGACACTGAGCAGGCTGCAGTCAAGTGAGATATATTCATAGTAATTCTGTTAAATTAAACTAGGGTGATTAATTTAATAATTTTATTTTTTACTTTTAGGGATGAGAAGGAAGAGTAAATTTAGCATCTTACATTGTTTTTATAACTATTAAGATTCAACCACTTGAAAAACCAAACTAAAGCGTGAGTCCAATAAGAAGCGAATGTTAAGAAAACACTTTTTTTATCTAGCTTTCTTACAATTACTGTGAATGTTTCTGATACAATTTCACTAAATGATGATTTGATACGGTTTTTTTTTTTTTTTTTTTTTTGTATAACNTATATATGTATAAATATGAAATTTTGCATCATTTTTTACGATCATTAAATTTAGTTGATTTGTAGGAATAAATTTTTAAGCAAAGTATCTTGACGAAATCAATTATCGTTGTTCAGTAAAATTTACTTGTTGAACGAATTTGAATTTTGTGCGTAATTACGGTAACATTAAACTGATACGTTTATAGTTAAATTTTTAAGTGTACTAACTGATTAAGTCTACAAGAGGTCTTTATCTGTAATTGAAATAAACTATCTTGATGTTTTTCTCGAAGCTATAACTTTTGTTGAACACTACGAGAAATCAAATTGATCATAAATATCTTTAAACATATTAAGCATTTTTCGATTCCAAACTTATTTTTGTGTGTGAAATCACTTGTAAAGAAATTATCGACATTAACGTTTAAATAATAATTTACCTAAAATATAGTCCATACTTTTTGTGATTGTTTATTTTAGACAACCTTTTACGTCTCCGATTTCTAATCATTATATCCTTGAAATAATACAAAACATTATTAATTACACATTTTATTAAACGTGAATTACATTCTCAATTTTTTTTTTTTTTTTTATTTACATGGTAATTATTGTTTCGATTGTGAGACGACATACAATTACAGGAATTATAGAAGTTCCGTATATTATATTACAGGTGAGTTCAAAAGCAATCTAAAGTTCATATTGTGATTTATTTTATTTGTGGTCCACGTGAGAGGTTTTACAAATATGCATTACATTATTTTTTCTAAAATATAGCATATTTCCGTGATTCTTATTCCCACTAATTTATCAAGAGAGTAGTTTCAAAAATTTACCCTGTGATACACAAGTAGTAATCACACATCATCTTTGATACAAAAGATAGGTACACAGCAACTAATTGAAATTATGCTATTATGTACTGTAAGAATCAAAAAAATATTTTGAAGTGAAATTAAACTTCTTTAGTTAACGAATTTTGGTAAGAAAATATTCGCAATAGGATAAAACTATCAAACATTCACTTAGTGTGTAGTATTTGAGGCTATTATTTAAAGCTTTGACAAAAATTTGAAAATTGAATGTGCTAGCTTTAAGCTTTAAAGAAAATATGGATAAAATTGCTGAAGTTGATTGTACAATACAATTTTATTAAATTAGTTAACTACGTATTAACGTGTAGTGTAGGTATAGGCTAACTTCAGATCATCTTACAAAAATGTTTAGTCTAAAAAAAATTTTTTTATGAAAGGTGACATCTATGATATCTTTATTCTCTTTATCGCAAGAGCAACAATATAAAATATAACCATGTTTCTCAGAAACATGTTTAATATATATAAAAAATATCCAATCAAAATTTAGAGTGAAATCTCTAATCTAACAATCATAAACTATTCTAATACTTTCTCGTGTTTTAAAGGGGAGACACCTTTAACTTCTAATTTTGGTCCTTTTTTTTTTATGTTCGCATGTTTCATCCGAAAACGTAAAATTGTTACTCTCAAGTAACCAATGCACGTCTAGGTAACAAAAAGCCTCATGCACATTTTCAACCATACATATGTACTCAATAATTCATTATACACTTCGAAAGGCCATTGAGGAATAATCACGAGTTTTTGTATTGAAAGTTGGCACTAGAGGAAGGGAATACACGGACGATAGAACAAAAAAAAGAGACTCAAAATCCGGGTTCCATCCTGACAGACAATACCGTGCTGAGCATGTCCCGGATCTCGGATATCTCTTTACGACTTTTGGCCACCGTGTCCTCGAGCTGTTTGTTCTTTTCCTTGACCTTCTCCATCTCGCGCCAACAACTCTTGTCAATCGTCCTTCTATGACAGTCAGAGCTCTCGTCCTCCAAGTCTTGGATTTCAAGCTTACCACAGTGAGAGCATGGGCTGTGCCTCGATTTTTCTCTCCTTCTATCTTCGCTTTCCTCTTCCAGAGGCACAATCCCATCATCACCCGGCGTTTCCCGTATTTTGGCCTGACGTTTTAGGCTTCTTTTTCTCGATGTAGAGGATTCAGTGCTGCTGCACCTCCTGTACTGCAAGACACCATCACTGTGCCGCCTACCCTCTTGTTCCCAAAAAGACGACATCAATGAGTCATCGTTCGAACCCTCGCTCACTCGCCTGGATACCTCATCTTCCCTGCAATGGTGACCTCCGCCGATGGAGGGCTCGTGCGATGTGTGAACGTCGTCATTGTTGTTGGTGTTTCCATTGACTTTCATTGGAACGACCGTCTCGGTGGAGTCCCCGTTATTTTTGAAGTCACTCAGACATTTGTGCTCAGTCGTCGTGATTGGTCCCGTGGTTTCCATCGTGTTCTCTGCTTCTGTGTACTTCTCCTCCGAGGATAAGTCGATTAGGTCGCCGTCGCGTCCAAAGGCAAACGACCTCTGGCCTGCAAGGAAACATTACATCTTTAGAGTGAACAATCGCCATGACCAGTTTTTATATGACGTGCATCAGCCTAATATAATGTGATCTAGCAGTTTGTCTCGTGCTTTTTACATGACATTCGTGCGGACGAATCTAAGCTCTTCATCGTGAATTATTGATAATTTACTGGATGCGAAGCTCGAACGAATCGATGGATCATTAATAAATCAGTACTACTATAGGACTTGTAGTATTTTTTTGGCGAACGCTGCGAAAACTAAGAAGAAAAAAATAGGCAAAGCTTGTGTTGTACTGCAGATACACTGTTGTTTGAATTTACTTTTAAAAAGTGAAGCCGAATGCCGAAAGAAACGTCATCTCAAAACGTGCCATCGCACAAGTGAGCAAAGATTCCTTAAAAGAGAAAACAAATCTTGGTGATACCTTGATTAGCAAAGGAAAAAAAAAAAAAAAAAAAAAAAAAAAAAAAAAAAAAAAACTCATCCATCCTTACCTATAATCATACGCTTGTTACGCATATCAGGACTGGTTGATCTTGGCCTGTCGAGGAACTGCCGGTTATCGGGTGACAAGACAGACAGCTTGCTGTAGTCCTGTTGCTGAGGAAGCAGATACGACTGATCCGAAGATCCACAGCCGCTGCTATTCTGCTGGAGGTAGGCATCGATCTCGTGGCTTTCGTGTTCTCGCAGCCGCTGCATGATTTTTTGCACAATCTCCGAAGGCGCTACGTAAGGTGAACCTGCAACAATCCCCAAAGGTCGTGAGAACATTTGTTGTTTATTTGAAATATGGCACGATGAAAGCATACTATACATGTTTATCCATCACATGAAACGCACACCAAATATACATGTAAAATCGATGGTATAACAATAGGAAAACAGTGCGTACCGGGAGCGAAAAAATGAAAAACAAAACGCAAGCAGCAAATAAAAAACGTCGCAGTCTCGGCGAGTATAATCAAGGTAATGCTAATATAGATCACGAGATACTACTACAGCATAACAGGTGATGAAAAGAAAACCAAACAATACGAAATGTGTCAAATACACAATGCTCTTATCAAGTCGTGGTGTGGGCGAAAAAAAATCTAGAACATTCCTACTTGTGATTGTAATACTCACATAGTGTTACTATTTTTTTGTTTTTTGTTTTTTTTTACATTTTTCGAAAGTAAGAAATTTTAAGGTTTTTTTTTTCATCCATAAATAAATGAGGTATGTGTCACATTGAACATGAAAACATAAGTACAGCAAGCTCAAAACATTGAAGCTCCGAGTTATATTTCACTGAGTGGTGATGAAAGAAAATCGTCGTATTATGTGTAAGGGCACACAGAAAAAAAAACACAGGTGTTAAAAAAACTAAAATATTCGTGCACACACGTGAGCGGGGCATTTCGTGTTATGTTCAATTGTTCGCAGCAGAACGAGGATGTGGTGAACTTACGAAGGCACTGGGTCCGGAGTGTCGGCGACTCCGCGGCCGCCTCACACGGACCCTCGGGGCGCATATCTCGCTCCCTATAAAATTTTGAAACAGGTCGGTTTTCCTCCAGTTTCTTTTTTTTTTCTTTTCGACTGAGTTGTGTACATATATTATATAGGGGCGGATCGATATGTTCTTGAATATTTTGACCGCATACGTTTGTTCCTCTGTTTCAAAGTAAAAAAAAAAAAACAGCATCGCCAACTCGATTTGTTTTGTTAATATATGGTTGGTTCGTTGGAGCGAGACATCGAAAGTTTCGTTAAAGATTCAAGGACGCGTCAATGCGATTCAATTGAAAGTGTTACGGAAAATTTTAAGATCAACGGAATGACCATTTTCAATACTGTTGTTATGCCTGTTTGAGTTACAAAACCAAATTTTACCGGTATGTTGCGGTAAAAAAATGTACGTTGGCCAAACGGTATAGTCGTAAAATCGACATTGCACCGCACGCAGTAGTACAAGATTATTTACATAACGAAATGTAACTTTACTCGGCGAGAAGAAAAATCATTGTTAGTGAAAACTTCATTCCAGTTTACGTAAGCAGTGCGACGCGTGTTTTTGATAAACAAAAAGTCAATGGTAAACATTTTTTTTTTTTTTTTTTTTTTTTTTTTTTTTTTTTTCCGTTAAGGAACAAAAATTGCTCGATAAAACCACTCTCAAGACAAACAAAGGTCATTAGCGCAAGTATATATCGTATATTAGTGAGCGGATGACGAGTTGAATTGTCATTACTTGCCGTTGCCCGTGCGGTACGGTCAAAAGAGCTTCCTCTCGACCTCCTGACGCCCTCCGTCAGAAAATCAAAGAAAAGGACCAACACCTTCGATTCGGATTTTTTACTTCCTTGAAACATGATTTTTCATTTCATCAAAGATTCCAACACAATTACAACAAAATTATTTGTTCACACTGTCTCGAGAACCATATATTGAAAATTGGCTATTCAAAAGAAAATGTACATTCTTTTCCAATACCGTAAGCAGCTCCCCGCCACGCAGAGCCATCATCATCGTAGTCGCACCTACAGTGAATGAATATTTATAAAAGCACACCAACCTGTCAGTCCGCGATACCCGAGGGACGTCGAGTCGAGGCTCTCGTTGGTCTCCTGCTGGTGGCGCACGAAATCGTCGATGACGATGCCATCGAGCTTGGACGGCTGCAAAAAGCGCTTGGGTATCCGCGCGAGCGGCCCGCCGTCCTGGGGAGTGTTGGAGTAGCCGCCGAAGCCTAGGCTCATCAGGATAGCCTCGGGATCGGCTCGTCTCGATTCCAGCAGGCTCTCGACGCTGCTGCAGTGGCTGCTGTCCGACTGGAAACTCGGGTCCCGCGCCAGTGACCTACGGAGAGACATGCTATTTTTTTTTTTTTTTTTTTTTTTTTTTTTTTTTTTTTTTTTTTTTTTTTTTTTTTTTTTTTTTTTTTTTTTTTTTTTTTTTTTTTNAAAAAAAAAAAAAAAAAAAAAAAAAAAAAAAAAAAAAAAACCCCGATACCTATATTACGTTACGCGAATTGCGCACACGCCAGCGATATATAGAACCTGCCGCGAAGATAAGAAAAATTGTTTGAGGTAGATGAACAAAAAAAAATTCACACGTGCGTAAATAATAAAAAAAGTCTCGCGTTTCGCCAAATTGGATTTTTGTCGATTTTTTTGTACGATCGTGGCCTGTCTGCGATCTTGGCTCATTGAGTTTCGTTTCTTTCTCAAAAGTAGTTGTTCCGTATATATTTAGACAAGGACTGGACATATTTCAAAATGGGTCTCTGGAAATAGAAAAAAAAAGTTGAATGGACTCGAGGGACGAAAATACGGTTTGTTGGCACTAAAATACTCGTGAAAACTCATTGGTGCAAATCGTCGAGAGTTGTTTTTTTTTTTTTGTAAACCAAATCACAAAAATATTCGTCAAAAAAAAAAAAAGAACCACGTGATAGTATTTCGGCATAAACGCAATATCATCCGGTGTAGCGCCCACCTCAATTATGTATACTAGCTGTAGACACGAAAGCTTTGATTGACGTGCTCCACACGCACAGTGACCCACATGCGGAAGCTTTTATCTTCCGTTCTATTAATAGTACACCACCCTTTTTTCGATTTCAAACGCACAGGAGACAATTTTGTACAACTTATTGAATCGACAAATTTCGCGTCGTTGACGATCAAAATAAAATCCGGCAACGTAATAAAAATCGTCGTCGCAGAGTCGTTGAACGCGAGGGATGGTCGACGAGTGCCAATTTGGAACGGAGCCAACGTTCGAACTCAATACCGTTAATTACTTTGCTGTATACGCCTCCAACTGTTTGACCTGTTGAACAAATGAGCCGATCTCGGATGAAACACGACGATGGATCCCGGTGACGAACGAGAATTATGTTTTTGTGCAATAAAAGGTACCTCGTCGCGCTGGGACAACTGACGGCTGGTGATGAGGAAGGCACGGCGATCGGTGTCGAGACGGTCATGTCCGTGAAATGGTTCTCCTTGTTGTCGCCGGAGTCAAAGGACCGCGAGTCCTCGTCTTTGGCTCTGGTCTCGGTGGAGAGGCTCTGTTGTTTGGCTATTGGGCGAGGAGTCGTCGGAAGATTGCAATCGTCGCTTGATCGGTGTTTTATCGGTGATGGAAGGGAATCAACCCATTGTTGGACCGGACTGGCGGCGCCTCCTCGACGTCGCATGTCCCAGATACCGCGGAGCCAGTTTGAGACGCGTAGCACTGCCTCTTTGCCGATGTTTTCTGCCAGGACATGGGGGAAAATAATTATAATTTAATCGTTGCTACAACGTGACAAAAATCGAGCGTGAGAGAATTTTGGGTGAATTACGTGGAGATGCAATAAATATATACTAGTGCAAGTTTTTGGTTATTTAATTGTCGTGATTAAAGCTCGAGTGGTGATTTAAAGCGACAAAAAGGAGATAAGGTAAATGGTAGTAAATTAATGTGTAGTATCTGAACTCAACAGGTGTGTGTCATCACTGCTTTGGCTCGGTAGAAAAAAAAAAAAAAAAAAAAAAAAAAGGTAAGTAATAAATAAAAATGGTTTTCTGTAATACTAAGGTACAGGAAATACCTGGATCCATCGGTATGTCCTAGCTGCTTGAATAAATGAGCAAAAAATTTTAATTAAAAGCGCTAAGCTCAGCAATAATTTGTGTTAGGTATTTAGGTTTCTAGCATTTCATGAATATTCACTCGGAATTGAGTTTGTGTACCTTAAGAGTGCTTGCCAAATTCACACGAGGGAAAAACATTTTTTCCGGGACACGTTGTTCGATCTTATGTCGAAAGTTTTCTCTTACGAAAAAGTTTCGGAGCGGTGATAAAAAAAAAAAAAAACAAAAAAAACGATATGACGAGCTAAAAAAAATAGTGACGCAACCGTGTAATAATTTAAAGTATCGTAGTAACTTTTTTTTTTTTTTTCTTTTTCTAGAGTATACCCAGAAATATTGTGATGTAATACGATACAAGAATATTTATGTCATGGAACTCTTAAGGCATTCTTTCTATAAATTACCCAAGTGGTTTGTATTAAATACCATATAGATAATTTTATTTTTCCATACCGATAATAAAATTAAAAAAAATATGCACGCAAGAAAAGCTACTCTCACGTCTCCGAAAAAGAATTTAATTAAACATTGAAGAAGCTTCATAATCTCTAAATAATAAGATGTAATAAGATGTAGTAAGTATAGAAGACAGACATGTCGAGGGATTCCCATCGATTCCAGTCAATCAGCGACACACAGAGACACACGGAGAGCTTTTTTTTTCTTCACTGTGCAAGTGTGCACTGCCACTGCTCCCTGATCAAAACAACATAACTATATGTATATAGCTTCTAGAAAAAAAACCAGCCACTTGCAACCCACACTTAAACAAAAAACACACACTTATAACATGCACGTCAGACACGCGAGTTAATAAAACACTCGTTCTCTGCTTGAAACACCGCACGACGACCACCCACCACCACCAGCTGTTTCGACACTGTCTGTACGTAAAAAAAAAAAAACGAGTACAATAGTTCTTAGAAAAGAAGAAAAAGAGAGCACATTCACGATGAGCCCGAGTAAAAAAGGAGCAAACAGTAATACGAGTTCGTAGGCACTGATGTGTTTGCAACACTTGTAAAGTAACAAAGTGTCGTTGTAGCTTACAACATATAATGAGTATTAAAATACAAAAAAAAATACGCGTCTTCAATCTCTGTCTCTCTATTACTTAAGTATTTTATAATATGCTATAGTCGCTACTCTTGACAAAAAAAAAAAAAAAAAAAAAAAAAAAAGCAAAGCTTTTTAACCATAATATGACTGCAGTCACAATAACGACGACATCACCAAGGTATTTTCAATTACCTTTTTTCGCACTCCAAAAGTGAAAGCCTCAAACAAACCGCGTTTCCCTTTCAATGCTAAAAGAAATGAAAAAAACACGCCTGGTCAGCGACTCGCTAAGCGATGGACTGGAGAGTGAAGGCTTGTTGACGAAGGAGGTGGAGGAGGGCGAGGAGAGGGACACTTGTTAATCTCGGTTTCGCTCTTGGAGAGCCATTCACGAGTTTCGTGTAACAATTAATACATGTTTGTCGTGCATGGGAATGCATATACATACGACTTGCAATGCGCTTGCAGCAAAGAAAGCTCTTTTACAGTATAGAGTGCATTGCAGAGAAAAAAAAAACTGCGGAGTGATGCAACGTGAAGCAAAACAGAGCCAGGATCGGAGCGTGATCGGCTGGTACCCCGCGTTTGTTTTGCCACCCACAACCCACAACCCACGTGTGTATAGTACACGCTGTAAGAGCAGTGTTTTTGTTTTTTTTATTATATATTATATTTTTTTTTATATTTTTTAAATTCGTACGGTATAAATATACTTACAGGAGGTCTATTTTCGGGTAAGAAATAAGTTGTAAACTTGCCGCAATTAGCACTACCAATGTCAACTTTTTATTTTCTATCTGTAAAATTAGTTGCAGCTAGTTTATAATCAATTACATGGCTCTATACTACAAGTAGTTAAGTAGTAATAATTATTTGGATCAGCGCCATCTAGCGTTGCGGATTTCTGAACTAAAATTCTGAATCCAAGCTTTAGCGCTTAGATCCATTTAGTCAATTGTAAACCAGCCGCAACTAATCTTATAGATAGACAATAAAAATTTAACGTTGTCTGTGCTATTTGCGGCAAGTTCACTATATATCTTTTACATAAAAATTGACCTCCTATGTGTTAATACTTTCAGAGATCGATTTTTATGTAAAAGATACATTGTAAACTTGCCGCAAACAGTACACACGGCGTTAACTTTTTATTTTATGTCTTTATTATTAGTTGCGGCTGGTTTATAATTGATTAAATGGCTCCAAAATTTGGAGTCAGATTGCAAGAAAAGTGTTGTTTTGTATGCATGTAAGTACATACATGCGTAGGTGGTGTGTTTGGTGTGGGCGCGATCTAACCTTCAATTAAAAAAGGCAAAGGTGTCACACAATGTCCGCAAAAGGCAAAAACAGAAATAGACACACCAGAAAGCGTCATGTCGTTGGAAAGGAGGAAAAGTATCGCCAGGAAAGGGATAAATCAGACAAGGAAGATTCTGGTGAGTCAATCTTTGTTTGATTCTGTTACGAGCTGTTTAACTTTACCAAAGAGCTTTACTTTTAATGATAAGTTTTTTTCAGAGCCAGAACAGGAATGGCCACTTGGTTTTACTGTAGCAATGTGGGATCTCGAACAGTGTGATCCTAAAAAGTGTTCAGGCAAAAAGCTGTCAAGGCATGGGCTGATGAAGACTCTCAAACTAGGAGCTAGATTTCCTGGTCTTGTTTTGACTCCAATGGGAACTAAGGCATGCTTTGATTTAGCTGCTTATCAAACATTAACTCTAAATTTTAACATATGCTTATTGATTTTACTGTTGGCTCTAGTGTGTTAGCCCAGAAGACAAACACATCGTCGAAGATAATGGCTGTGCAGTGGTGGACTGCAGTTGGGCCAAACTAGACGATACACCCTTTGATAGAATGAAGGCATCCCATCCACGACTCTTGCCTTTTCTCGTCGCCGCGAATCCAATCAATTACGGCAAAGCTTGCAAATTAAGCTGCGTAGAAGCAATAGCTGCCACGTTGATCATCACAGGCTTCCCAGAAGAGGCAGACCTCTATCTGAATAAATTTTCCTGGGGCCACTCTTTTCTTAAACTCAATGCTGAGCTGTTGGAAAGTTATGCTGCGTGCACGACCAGCGAGGAGATTATAGCTGCACAAACAAAGTTTTTGGTTAAGGCACAGCAAGAAAGGGAAGACAGACTGGGTAATTGTTTAACTATTGTGATTTATTTTCGCTACTTTTTACATAACTTAGTTAATGATGAATGCTTCACAGCTATGCCAGATTTTCCGCCATCAGAGAGCGAATCAGAAGATGATGAGAAAGATGAAGATAATGCCACGACTAGTAAAGAAAGTAGCAAAGAGGCTGAAAAGGTATTAGCAGCAGATAGCAAAAATACAAATGAAACAGAGACAGAAGAGATGCATAGAGAAAATTTGACGGATATTAACGAGGGAGTCGTATGATAGCGGTTTTAATTTTTTACTTGTTGGATTCTTGCTGATGTAAATATATTCTAATTTTGTTCATATTGTAACAAATCATGTTGAGATTATATATTAATTTATATTAGTGTTTATACGCGATCTTTGAAGGAAAACTGATACATAAAAACGTACATCTCAAAATACGATTTGTATTTATTCATTTATTGGACTGTATTGACTATGACCGTAAAATGAGCTCATAAAAGTTTTTCAATACAAACCAAAATTACTTTATGCCATTTAATTGAAAAAAAAAAAAAAAAAAAAAAGATCGAATTCGAACTCAACGACAAATAAATCGATTTTTCGTCTTAACATTAGTATTTACTTATTATAATTAAACGTGTTTATATTAGCCTATTTACAAATCTTTTTTTTTTCTTTTTTCTGAAAAATACTTCATCTGAAATCATGGAATTTCGCCCAATTGTCAATTTGTGCGACTTATTACATGTTGTTTCAAGCCTATTAACAACACTTTATCGTGCCTAAAAAAAAACATAAGTACAGCTAGATTGGTAGAATATCTTAAAACTATGCAATTTTCAGTATGTACAATTCATTGACTGTTTCTAAAAAATAAACTTTTAGTAAAAATACAAAACAAAATCACTCCGACGCATCTTCGTGACATGAACTGAACAACAAAAAAAACAAGGAATAAGCGCGAATAGCTAAGTTGCAAATTTGGCGATGAGCGCAAATTCAACGCAACGCGCTTCTCTGAAAGACGATTCAGCTTGGCTTGCAGTTTTGTCCAAACGCACGCAGATACAAATAAAAAAAAAAAAAAAAAAAAAAAAACAAGGCCAGACGTACGTACGAAAGAACTATAGCAATAGGAATGTTCTCCATCATTTACCACACCACTGGTATACCAGTTTGTGCATACAGATTTCGCAAAACACTAAAAAATTCCAACACGCTTAGCCTGCCTTTCAAGGCTCAAGCAACCCGATAGACCTGCGTTTTACTCTGGATCTCGCAATCCTTGAAACTTCGAGCCTGAGCGTAATGCTCCTCGATCTCCATCAAAGTCTTTCCCTCTGTTTCGGGAATCATCCTGTACAGCAGTACGAAACCGAACGCGCTCATAACGCCAAAGAACAAAAAGACTCCCTGGATCGTCATGTAATCAATCATGTACAGAAACTGCTTGGACATGATCATGGAGAATACGGCCCCGACGAACGACCCGACCCCCGTGCCCACGTTTCTGAACCTGCTGGGGAAGAGCTCGCCGTTGAGCATGTTCACGACCTTGTCCAGACCAGCGGCAAAGACGAACGTTGACGCGATTATCATAACCGACGGCAAGTACAGGTACACCTCGGCCTCGAGGTACTTGCGCGTCGTCAGGTGAATCGACACAGCGGCCATGAGGTAGGTGATCGCACCCGCGGCCAACGAAAAGAACATCAGCTTTCTCCTGCCCAACAGGTGGACCGTCGATATGCAGACTATGGCACCGGCGATGCGCAGCCCATCAAAGATCGTGCCAGCCATTTTTTTGTCCAACGGGGAGTTCAGTATTTTGAACAGCCTGATCGCGAACGTCTGGACGGTGTGACTGCCAACCAGCGCCTGTATCAAGAACGTCAGGCAGATGATCGCCAGGGGGATGTAGAATGACCGCTCTACGTAGAGTTTGAACATATTGGCCAGGCGGCGTCGGCCGGTCAATGAGCTCGTTGAGAGATCTTTCCTCGATTTTTGCTGCGTCTCCCGGAGCAGACGGAACTCGACCTCCACGTCTTCCGGCGTGGCCCAGCCTCGCAGCCATGCCAAGGAGCGCTCGGCCTCCTCGTATTTTCCCTTACCTGAAAGCCAAACAAGCCGATCTTGTAAGAAACGAGTTGACGTTAGAGGACACTGGGTGATAAATCGGTACGCACTCGCGAGCCAGTGAGGACTCTCCGGGAAGAAGAACATGGACACCAGTCCGACGATCGGGAAGGCCAGGTTTACAAGTACGATGGTCCTCCAGTGCAGCCAATTGTTCAACAGCACCGTGAAAAATTGGCCGAGGATCATGGAGAGGTTGGTGGTTGCCATGAAGGTGCTCCTCAAGTTAGGCTGGGAGATCTCGACGACGTAGGCGACGCCGGGCCCGAGGATCGTGGATATGTTGATGCCCACGATGGCTTGGGCGATCAAAAGATGCGCGGCGCTTCTCGCGTAGTAAAATATCACCCAGGAGGCTACGAAGAGCGACGAGCCCAGTAGCAGGGTGGTTCGGCTACCAATCAGGTGGGCCACTATGGCAATCGCTATGGCACCAACCGGTCCCGTGAAACAGTAGGCGCCTGGAAGGCAAATTTCGTATTTGGATGAACTTTTAATTAGATTTAAAAAAAACACGCGTGTGTGTACAAGTACACTCACCGAACCACGACTGGTACGCCAGGGACATCGGTATCTCGAAAGTCGTCTCGTTGTGAAACTTGCCGAGCAGAACAACCGTAAAGCCCAAAGAAGTGCCCGAGCTGAATTTGACAATGTTGAACACCAACACAACGAGGCATTGCGACATGAGATTTCTGACCTTTGAAATTCTCGTCGAGTCCTGGCCTCCTGGACGGCTTTCACTGTTAATACGCGCATTCGAGTCAGCGATTAATCGAAATGAGAATATGGTCATGCGTTAAAATACATTTTTATCCATACAATTGATACTATTGGCGAACAAAAATAAAATAATCTAAAAAAAAAAAAAATAATAATAACTTACTTAGGCGAGGGATCCATTATCGTGAAAAAGAAAAAAAATCCGTACCACTGGTTACACGCTAATTTATGTAAGTTATGATACACATTTGTATCAACGAATACTGAGAAATTCGCCTATTTTACTGATAAAGTTGCTGGAAAAGTCGCGTGACAACTTTCGTTGCTCCAGATTGGCCAGCTTCTTCGTGCACATTGACCACTTTCTCTCTCGACAATATATACACATATATATATATATATGTATGTATATTTTGCCAATGTACATGGATAATTTAGATGTCAATCAGTTGTCAAGCGATGGGTGTATTATCTGATTCCCGATTAAAAGCATCGATTGTAATTTACTCGCAAAATTTTAAACCTCGCAATCTCCAAAGACCAGCAAAGACTGCCGATGTCTGCAGTCGAACCGAACGTCATCGTGTCATAAGGCACTGACTGAACTGCCATATCTGCTTAATAAGCCAAAAAAAACTACAGATACCGCAACAATTGTAAACACATTTCAGTCTCGCCGAGCTGACGAATATATCGGAAAGGCATGTATATATTTATGTACATCTAATGAGATTGTTATTCCATGCTCTCTCGTGCAGCGACTTTGCCGATCTCGAATTGTTTATCATAAAGCAACCGCCAAGAAATCGGCGTTTCTTCCTTTCAACAGATGATGATGATTACTAGCATTATTGTTATTGTTTTATTTTAGTGCAATGGTGGTAATATAATTTGTTATTACATAATCAACGCACAAACGACACCCCCAGACGGCTCTGTGCGGCTTATGATTATTATTATTTAGCTTGTTTTTATGAAAAAGGAAAAAAAAAGAAACAAGCATTTGTTTAACTTTACATTATGGGATGTGAGGGGGGGGGGGCAAAATTATATGGTCTCGTGATTTTCGTGCTTCAAGAATGAAATTTTGTTGTCTCGTCTTGTGCAGCAAAAAAATGTATTTGTAGTCACTGATAGTAACATATCGTATACGTTCGACACGTGAACTCTTCGTTTTCCACCTTAAAAAATAACTTATTATCACGTTGCACTTTCACAAAACTAAAAGTTTTTTTTTTTTTTTTCAAAATAAAATCTCACGTGGTGCCGACGAAGGAGAGCTTGCAATTGGCGCTCTTGGCAATGGCCGTCGAACTGCGGCGGGACACAATCACTTTGAGGACAATTAATGCATCAACTTTACTCGTGTTCCTCGACTATTTTTTTATTTTTGTCATTATATTCCCCTTATAGTATTTATGGTGTACTGGTTGGAGCGTGTAAGAGATTTCAAGCATATATATGTTACGTATTTTTTTTTTTCCATGAATCCATGTTTTTAAATATGGGTTAAACTTTCATGATGTTGTGTAATCAATTATCAATATATACTGTATTGGAGGAAGAAGAAGAAAAAAAAAAATTACATTCAGTATATGCTAACGTTACGTGTTTTGGAGCATCTTTGAATGAAATGATGATAATTTTAAGAGACCCTAACCTAAGCCATTCTATAGTGTGTCAATGGAGGAAAACAAAAGCAACACTGTTACCTAATTATATTGCATTCGTAAATTAAATCATCGACTTACTCGAGCCTGGACGAGTCAATAATTAATATCCCCGAATCTGAGTCCGCATTTCTCCACATATCGCGAATGGCGTTTTAACAGTGAAAGGAAAAATTATCTTATTTCGGAGTAAAGTGTTCCACACTGTCGTATACTGTGAGCCGTGTATGATGAGGCCGCTTATCTCATACCGTAGGTACCTATAAGTATACTTACATGTGGCACTTGTAATACATTGCCCTCACGTGGGCAACTTGTAAAATAACTGTTTGCTGTTTTGATTTACGTAATTGTCTGAAAAAGGTAAAGAAAACGACAGGTGCTATAAAAACGATTCTTTTTTCGATGTTTGAAACTGTTCAAAACGAGGAAAAATCCAAAAATTCAGTTGTGGAATTCACATGTTTTGGTTTTATGGGATCAAAAACCGATTTTTCGCATTTACCTGATTTTTGGGAGGGACACTAGATCCAAAAATTTTACACCATTGCTGTTTTTTACGTATAGTATACACATTTTTTAAGGCACATTAGCCAAATACTAAATTTGAGCACATAAATCGGTACAATTCGTTTTACCCGACAAAGAACCATAAGTAGTAGATTTTTGGATGCCAATACAATCGTTGGTTGCGTAGCATGAAAAAACATATAAAAACACGCATGTATTTACAAATCGCGTTTATGCAACCATATAATTGTTATATATACCATACTACACTCGAGTAAGAGTAGCACTCGCTTTGTTACCGATTTCATCGACTTATGTAGGTATTAAAACATGTTAAACGTTATCGGTACAAAAAATATTGATCTACTTCCCTCAACACACCTGCAACTGTACCTTGAAAACAAAAACAACAAAAAACAAAACAAAAAATAATAATAATAATAATTATTATTTGACAGATCTTGTACAACCATACAAAAGAAAGCGGATAATACGCAAGTAGAGTCAGGAGATCGGTAGCGTCGACCGGTGGTACCAAGCAAACATGAGAAGCTAGGGCGTTACACTGCACGATTTTGTGTGTGTGTGTGTGTGTGTGTGTGTTCACCTCCAGAATCCACGGCGAAGAGCGAAGACTCTCCGTAAGGTAGGCACACGTTAATGTGTACAAGTCAGTCGAGTAGCGGACAGCGTCCTGCGAACAGCATAATATTATATACCCCGTCCTTTCTTCGAGCATAGCGTATACACACATTGCACATCAACTGTACTTTGCCAATCTACACGGATCACCTGTACACCATGAGTAAGTAGTTTATACCTGTACCGTCATTTAAAATCAAGGCATGTCCCCTACCCGCGATTTCGTTTTTCCCTGTCATTTGGCGTTTTCGATTTTTCGACGCAATGTATATACCCTCCACGCGATAATGTAAGGACGCGATGGAGAGAAAGGAGAGGCCAACTGACTCACCTGAGGATCGGTATCTCGGCGGTAGGCATGTTTTGTACATACATAAATACACACGTATGGGACCCGAGGTATGGGTACTTGGTAGTCGAGGAGAAGCTCGCGTGAGATGTACATCAATGCCGCGGAAAAGGAAGCGAGTCACTTTTGATTATGTCGGAAAATCGCGCTCTGGTGTGTACATATGATTTTTCAATTTTTCCTAATGGAGCAAATTTCACGGGTAGGAATGGCTCGTCGAACATCGGAGAGATCGGTAGTGTTTTTTTGTTTCAACTACAACGGCCGTGAGCGAGTCGGATTCGTTATTTTTCTTTTCTTTTTTTTTTTTTCTTTTTTGTACATATATATTCATGAAGAAACTAGTTTTGAGAAAAAACGGTTGGAAATGCATACGGATGGTTTTCGATTTCGATTCGTGTGCTCAAAAATCTGTTCGTTTTGGAAAAAAGCCGCATCACCGTTCGGCCCACGCGAGGAGGAGGGAAGAAAAAAGAGGACGAGGCCGTTGATTCGCGTATTTCCAAACTCATTGACACGACCATTTGTAAAACGATACCTTTATGAACCGATTTTCACGATCCAACCGATTTTTGTTTTTGTTCCTACGTTGTCGGCAATTACGAAACAATACATGTGGCTATAAATGCCAACGGTACTTATACGTGTAGCAGCATCCTGTCAATTTGCAAGCAAAAAGCGAGAGACGAGAATGAAGAACGCACGACTGTTTTGTCAATTTTCTGCTGGGCAAATACATAATAGAGGCTATAGAGATAGAGAGAGCGAGCCTTTGACGACTCAAAGAATCAACGACCATCATCACGTTAATTGAAAGACGGGGGCGCCTTTATTCGATAATCTCGACCGTTTGTACGTAGGCACTGCTCTCCCGCGCGAATGACGTGTTATCGACCCCTCTCTCGCCACATTTGTCTCGCGACTCATGTCAACTGCCGGCGTGTCTGTGTATGGCTCGCCCGATTTTTTTTTTTTTTTTTTTTTCTCATTTACACGTATTTATCGGGTGTTGAGCTGCAGACCTCGGTTGTTCCGACAAGACAAAGCTAAAGGGAGATCATTCACGTATATAGCAATTGTTTTGACTTTTGTTTCACAAAAATCACAAAGAGTCATCACTCAGAGCTCTTTTTCTTTCTTTTTCAATTCAGCTTTAGAGCGTATCTTTATACTCAAATTGACGCGCTGTCATTGTTGAAAACAAAAATTTTTATATTGTTTTTCCAGTGTGAATTATATTGTCGTGGCGAGACATTAGCAGGAACATAATGCCTGTACGATCGGTTTTCCCGCACCAATTTTTTTGAACAAACTCTGGGTTATTCTTATCAAATTCTCACCAAAGTAGTCGTGTATTATGCTTCTAAAATGGCGATGGTGAATTTTTACAGAACAAAGTCAAATGTTTTATCCCTCGATCGACGAGTGTGCGATTGAGCTATATTATTCGGTATGTATTTCGTCGAACTTGTTAGCACGCGCCACCGATGAGAAATTAAAAGGGCGAAATGTGAAAAAAAAAAAAAAAAAAAAAAAACAACAGGATATCAACGTGGATTCAGCGCTTGGAAAGGTTGTTATCAGGCTTATTTTAGTACTCACGTTCTTCGGTTTTCTCCCTCTCTTCTTCTTCATCACGACCCTTATCTTGCGCGTCTCGATCTTTCTCGCCTTCTTCTCCATTAGCCTCTTGACGATATTCTTCCTTGATGGTACCTTCGAGGTCTTGTTTCTTTGTCGCTGCTGTTTCATCTTGAGTTTCGCCCGCTTGATCAGCTTGTCTAGAAGACGGGGTCTCTGAAGAAGGATCTGACGTGTTGACAGAGTCGATTTCGGTGCCATCTCGGGATAAGGCAGGCTGCGATAGCATCTCGGAACACTTTTCCGCGCTGAGGAGCTGCTCAAAGTTACAGCCCTGCGGGCCCACCAGCCAGCCATTAGTCGACATGCCCTCGTCGCAGCCGTCCTGCTGCTGTTCCTGATCCTCTTCCGCCACGCTACAACAGGCCCACATCCCAACGCGCTCTCACAGTAACTCTTTTTTTTCGTCTGGCCAAAATTTTTTCTTCACTCTTTTCCTCTTTCTTTCATTTATGTGCGAGTGGGTTTTTTGTTGGAGAAAGTTGGAAGAAAAGATTTTCGCCGAGCTATCTGTTTTTCATTTTTTTTTTTTTTTTCACTATTGAATTTGAAATTTAGAGAGCAGCTCGTCTCTACAAGATACACACGTTGATTCACATTGCATTCAAGAGAATACAAGCACAGATTTATATTTATTTATCTATACTTTTAAGTTATTCAAATACAAATCTGTGCTTGCAAGAGACGTTCAAGAGGACTGTGGTTTCAGCATAATGTAGGTTCGACGTTCAAAGGTATAGACAAGCGAAACCATCCAAAAACATGTAATGCAAATTAAGTTAATCAGCATCTATAAAATTACATGCACGTTAAGTTTTAATTGAACAACTTAAAAAACGCTAGGATTTATGTCCATACCCCTTTCGAGAATCAGGATAGCAAACAAGACCTAAATGTTAGTAGGGTTATCAAATAATAGTTTTAAAAAGCCATTGATTAAAGGGCACATTTTCTTGTTAGGAATTTGATGATTCCTCATTCACTCTATCAACGATAATCATGCTTATTGCTGTGGTACGATAAAAGATGTATCTTTAGTTACCCATTTTCAAAGTTACTCCATTCCCTCTGCAATTTATTTCGAGCCTTTTTCGTCGATTCTTTCAAAATACTTTCAACCTTTTCCAATGATGCAGCCAATTTTTTCATTCTTTGTAAAAGATTGACTTCACAAACCAGTGTTACGTATGTCTAAGAAAAATCGTGTGTAAAATATTACATATACTACAAAAACAAAATTTTTTTTTAATGACAACTTATCATATGCCCGTAACTTACTTCTTTGCTTTCATAGTTTGGAGTAGTTTTGTCAGAAGCTATGTACTCAATCAATTCTTTGAGGCTATCTAGGCTATCAGCAACTAATTGAAAGTTAGAAACGCTCAAATCACTTATCAGCTCGTTAAAATTTTTTACATTCCAGTCATTCTCATTGAATTCTTCGTTGTAAAAGTCCCCCTATCGGAACGTAATTGAACTCATTTATCATAATCGTAACAAACTGTAAATTTTATAAAAAAATTTAGTACAAACTTCAGGTGACGAAACTCTACACAGACTATCTCTCAAGTCGATCGACGACAATTCCTCGGTTTCGCACATGTCCACGATATTCTCCGCATCCTCGACTTCTAACTTGATTTCGGAAATGTGCTTTATACGTGCACTACGTCTTGAATACGAAATCTGAACCTCTTCGGAGTCAGAAGCAGTGTCATCAGGTTTGCATTCTCTTTTTTCTTTCAGCTTTTCCTTCATCCACTTATCCAGACTCAATTCGTCGCTAGCACATTCGCTGGCGACATCGGTAGGCGTATCACATTTTTTATTCTGGAACAACTTTTCATCGTCAGACTTGGAAGTATTGACTTTTTTAATAGAAAGGTTTAAAAATAAATTTACATCAGGCTCGGATTTTTCCAATGTCTTTGAGGCAATCATTTCCTCGAGCTTCTCGTCGTCTGTCTTGGAACTTTTGGATACATCGTCTATTGAAAAATTACTACTTTCTTTAACAGAGGATTCTTCGCTTTTCGGAACATCATTTATAGACCTATCCAACGGCTTATCTTCTAGTGACTCATCTATTCCATCCTACGCAAAGAATTACGAGTGTAGAAAATATTGAAACGAGCTGATTTTATCGTGTATGCACGAAAATTATCATTAAAAACCCAAGCTCACCTCTGTTTTCGTTTCTTCGTTCCTTAAGCTAACTTTCCCTTCTACTTTTACGTTATCGTTCTCAACTTCACTGGCATCCTTAGTGTTGCTTGTACCTTTTTCACTCTTACTGTCAACCACATCGTCCAATGCGTTTGTCTCATAGCCACTAGATTTGGCACAACTACTGGCACTGAGTTCCGAAGCTTTGGACGAGCACCTGGACGTCCTTCCGGTATCAGCTGAGTTCGAGCTCGAGTCGACCACGCCCTGATCGACCAAAGGACCACAACTGATTTTCATCTTTACCGGTTTCTTTTGTACTTTCAGCGGCAGAGAACCTTTTTGCCAACGCGAGCGTCGTCTTTTCCGTCTGCCACGCGACGCTATGGGCCTTGGAACATCCTTCTTCACCACTAGCTCCGGACTTTTTGGTTTTACTTTGATCGCCGGAGGCTTTACCGACGACAGCACTTTGTTGTCCAAGCAATGCCTGTACACCCTGAGATCGTTGTGTAGGAACTGTGGAAAATACACGTACCGAGCCCCGTACCTGTCGGTACCCAACACGGTCTCAAATTGATTCTCCGAAGGCTGTCTCGTGATCTCTTCTTGGATGGTTTTTCTCGTGTGCTGATCGAGAAAATGCGTTTTTCGTTAAAACCTGACATTCATCGTAATATTGAAATCTAATTGTGAATAAACAACGTTGCTTTGCACACTAACCATTGCAGTATCACATACTGTCTTTAACAGCCAAACTCTCTGCTTGAAGCTAAAGTCCTGGAAATCTTTTCCCTCGATTTCATTGGAATCCGGAAAAATTTTCCAAAATTCCGGCTCAACTCCCAGGCAATCGAAAGTCTGAAAAATATATTTGTTTCACCGTGCAAGTGTGCAAACAATTGACGAATAAAAAACAACAACAACAACATGCCACTGCGTCGCGCAGCAAATGAAACAACAAAGAAAATACCTTTAGTGGATTCTCTCTCTTGGATTGGTGGATTTTAAACCAATTTTTCAATTTGTACATCAAAACGTTGGTCCAAAACGTATAAGGCATCAAAGGTACTTTGTGCAATTTAGACTTTGTCGTCGAGGGATTACTAAAAAAACGTATTTCCCAATTAAAGATTAATTTTTTTTTTTTTCATTAAAAATGACGAGATGCAATATGTATGTAATAAAAAAAAAACAAAAAAACAAAGTTCGATACCTCAACAGACACGTCATTATGTGAGCTAGTTGTTTCGATGCTTTGGGCATCAAAAGCATTCGCTCGACCTCGTACATCGACAGGTGCGTCACGTTGAACGCTTCTTTGGTTAATTGCAGGAAGTGGAAAATTTGCGGAAGCTCCCACATAGTCTCCATCTCGTCTCGGAGATTTTCCGGAAGTATCTTATCCTTCTCCCAACTGTCCTCCGCCATCGCCATTTTGCGCTTTCGACCTCTTCTGGCCATTTTGCGTTGCCCTTCAAATGCATAAATAATTTCTTTTTTTAATATACATACATAAAAATTTATTTCAGCAACATCACAACCCCTCCCACCGCCCCTTCTTTTATATATTTATTTAAATGTATAAATGTTAAGGCGATAACACATCTCGCCGTATTTTTCGAGGTAAAAAAAAAGAAACCGAAGCGCATTAAACACACACAAAAGTGACATTGTAACTCTATTTAGTTGGGGGCAGATAACGCGATCGCGTCAAACAAATGCAAACAAAGCGAACGAAACGTGCAGGTGTCAGAGGACTCGTGAGTTATGGACGATGTAAGAGCTTAGATCGCAGCGTTGGATAATAATGAAGGTAATGAGGGCGTAACGAGGGCAATGATAGATGCACACACACGCACACACGTTCCCCCGAGACTTAGTACATCCGAACGCGGTATGCGTATTACCCTTTTGTATCTTCCCCAATCGAACAAAGTCAAGGATGACTGCGATACCGATACTTTGTATGTATACGTGTGAAAGAGACCAATTTTTTTAATTCAAGGATAACGCAACATACCCCCGAGGATCGATTGTTTTCGCAAACATTTACTTTGCGTCATTCAAGTTTGATACCATCGTTATATTATTATTATTGTTATTTTTTTTTTTAATACCAATAAAAGTCAGTTAATAAAGATGGGGGGGGGGGGACTCGTACACTTAAGCTCAAGGTGCTGTTTTTCAACACGCGTCCTCTGGCGAGACAAATTTGATTGCTTTTAGGAAAGAAGGAAAAAAAAGCTCGAGGTATACAACTTGAAATAGTATACATCACTTTGTCGATATATCGACAACGCGATTTCCAATCGCACGTACACACCCAACGACATGTTGATTCTGTCCATTATAGGAAAGTAAAAGGTACATAACGTTTTTTTTTTTTTCCGCCCCTATGATTACGCGATCGAAAAATACTGCGGATTCATCGCTCGAAAGGTATACTTGAAAACACATATCATTTGTAGAATAACAACGGATCGGTGTCGTTAATCGTCGCGCCAAGTGTAAGAACATCCTTTTAAACAAGAAAAAAAGTAAGTACTTTTACCACGGAGATGATAGGATCGCGCGCGCGCGCGGGGGGGCATAGCGATGCGCCGTGCCGATAATCGTCGATCGGTTCGCGTGAGAGAATTTTCATGTGTGTGATACGTGTATATGCCTGCAGATCGGCAACGAGTTCCCGTGGAAAATTGCTCGGCTTTTAATATCGGCTCGGGTTCTGTAAGCAGACGTGCTCGAATTCAAATAGATCGGTATGGCGTGACTTTTTTTTTTTTCCACCTCAAAAAGTGTCGCACTCTATAAATTTGAAATAGCAAAAAATTTTCGCAATTTGCTCGGTTAAAAAAGATTTTTAGTAGCGAAACGGTGACGAAATTCTGTGCGCTCGGACACTACAATTTTGTATCCCGAAAATGTTGACCGGTGATCTAACAATAAGAGACATTTTCACACGGGTCAAAGGGAGCTGTTAAATGTTGTTTTTGGTGTCGCCAACCATTAGTTAATTAATTTACTAAATCAGTGAAACTTGAAGTTGTACAGAAGTATATTGAGTATTTCGTAGTGAAATCCATTATTTTAAAAAGCAATGAATGAATGGACAATCAGAAAGTAGTGAAATCGATCGGTACACACTATAACCCACAAGTAGTACAATTTCACTAAGAAAAAATCAAGATACTCACAAAGTATTTGCACTATTATCTCGATATAAAATATATAGCATTAGGTCGGACTAATCCACGGGGACCTTGGGTGGTGAAATTCACGGGTATCGAGAACAGCGACGGTGACCAGTGAGGATGTGAAGAAGAAAAGAAAAACGAAAGATGCCGATGAAAAAATTGGACACCGAGTCAGTGTCGGTGATCTGGCGGCAGCACTGGTTGAGGGAGTTTAACGAGGACAAGCACTGGCCATCCGGGCACGCGGATACTTGGAAGGGACCCACTGAGATCGAGGCTAAAAAGGTCCCAGCTAAGGTAAGCGCGGGTGTGTGACATACAACTTTACCCTAATTGTCATGCGTATAGGCTGTTTATTGGATTTGCGTTTCATTTTCCAATATGTAGATACAATCACCGCTGCCAATTATCCAGAAAAATTACAATGGCACCTTTGGGTTTGCAACGCAACAGTACAACGAGTGAGGACTATTTTACTTTTTCCAATCCGAGGTCAAGCTGATGGGAGGGGGGTTTTCAGTCATTCTTGTTATTGTTTTTCATCTTTAGAGCAGGGAGCGTTAAAAAATTTAGCGGACGATCGAACCTCCGTCGAAGGATCGCGACAAACGTCGCCAAGACGTTCAAGGATTACTGCGATTATTCAACGTTGCACGGCTTGAAGTACATTGGCGACACTTCGCTGAATTACATGCAGAGGTGAGGGGAAAAAGAAAAAAGAAAAAAAGAAAAAAGCGTGACAAGAAATTTCTGGGTTGTTTCAGGTTGTTTTGGGTGATCGCGTTTGTTTGCGCGACGATGGGCACGTCGTACTTCATCTGGCGCTTGTACAACAGATACAGCCAGACACCGATAATCATATCCCGCAGCTCCGAAGCCGTTTCCATTAATGAAATACCCTTTCCGGCAGTCACCGTTTGCAACATGAACAACGCCAAGAGATCTGTCGCCGAAAAAATCATAGAGGAGTTGGTTGTTTTTCTTTTTTTTTTTTTTTTCTAACGGGGTANCGTGAGTTCAAGTGAACTTTAGTTTATGATTCTTTTTATTCAAGTGCATTGACTTTCGTACTTTTTCACTTTGATTCCATACAATGGTATTCAAATACTTAGCCGTGAATACGCGGTTCGTTATTAAAAAGTAGAAAATCGTTTATAAAAAGCTTTTTTTTTTTTTACAATCAGACTAATTTTTATAAACACTTGGGAAAAAAAAAATCATAGAGGAGTTGGTTGTTTTTCTTTTTTTTTTTTTTTTCTTTCGTTTATTAACTTGTACACGTTTGCTGTTAAGCACGACTGCTTTATAACTTTTTTCTATTTTTTTCTTTCGTTGAGTCACGTGATATTTCTTACTTATTTTCATAATACTTTCAATCTCGAAGGAAATCTCGAAAATTGGCAGGGAAATCATTTTAAAAAAGCAGCCGTGCTGTTGATGCAAAAGCTCAATTTTTGCGTAAATTAAACAATGTTTTTTTGTTTTGTTTTTTTTTTCGTTTAAGAAACGATCCATTGCAAAAGTTTTATCTGGAGGACATTTGTAACTTCAAGAACGGGACGTTTCAATTTTTTCAAAAATTCGATGGGAGCAAGGAGGCCGGGAGCTGGGAGTCTATATACCAATTTTTGTTAAACGTACGTGAACTTTTTAACCATCTTCACTCACCTATATAAAAAAAAAAAAAAAGGTTGAAAGATTTTTTTAAACTATTTTGTACAATCAACACATCTCGCCGTATTTTTCGAGGTAAAAAAAAAGAAACCGAAGCGCATTAAACACACACAAAAGTGACATTGTAACTCTATTTAGTTGGGGGCAGATAACGCGATCGCGTCAAACAAATGCAAACAAAGCGAACGAAACGTGCAGGTGTCAGAGGACNAAAAAAAAAAAAAAAGGTTGAAAGATTTTTTTAAACTATTTTGTACAATCTCTAATTGATAAAAATAATGTAGGTGTCTCAAAGCTGTTCTCAAATGATGTATTACTGTGAATGGAGTGGTAACGAAACCAGTTGTTCCGAATTATTCAACCCTGTATTGACGGATGAGGGCCTGTGCTGCAGATTCAATGTCCTTCCCGACCTATTATACGAATCTTAAGTTTTTCTTCCCTATATTAAACCATACAACTACTAAATTCGATGAAAAAGTTTTTAAAAAATACTCATAATGCAAAAAAACAAAATTGTGATTAATTTTTTCTTTACAGGCGAACATGGGAGAATCTAGATGTATCGAGTGCATTGAACCACATAGAGTGGGATCCAGAGTACAAGTTCACCCCAAAGGACCATCCCGACCAGATACCCTGGCGTGCCTATGCTAGTGGTTCCACTTATGGACTGACACTTGCTCTCGACGTTGCTGCCGACGAGTACTTTTGCTCATCTACAGCTAGCGTTGGATTTAAGGTTCCATGAATTTTCAATGAAAACTTTAGCTTTCAACGTACTAATTTTTTTTTTTTTTTTTTTATTATTATGTTAAAATCAGATGTTATTGCACAGTCCGGTGGAGATGCCGCAGATAGCGGATTTTGCTTTTACATTGTCACCTGGCAAAGAGACGCGGGTCATTATAACACCCCACATAGCCGACGCTGATATTTCCATTATTAAGATCCCAGTGAAAATCAGGCGATGTTATTTTCTTGGCGAGAAAAATCTTAAATATTACAAGATTTACACGCAACGCAACTGCGTGCTCGAATGCGAGGCGAATTTTACGCTTCAGTACTGCCAGTGTATGGAGTATTACATGCCTGGTGAATATTATTAATTGTTGAATTTTCGTTTACTTTTCAAGCACGACTGTAGTCTTTTAATTTGAGGAAAACCACAATTTGAAACTACTTTGTTTCGTAATCATTTGTGTAAATGAACAATTTTATCTGTCATAATTATGCTTTTTGAAAAAAATGAATGAGTCATGCCTCACCCAAGCAAAAGCTTAGTTACGTGCATAAGTTTAACCATTTAGTTATAAAAGTGTCTTTACTTTTAACCAATAAGTTACAAGCAACACGAGGATTTGCGGAAAAAATGATGACCTTTGTACAGACATTGCTAAAAAAATCATGAAAAACAAATGGTACGAGGATGACGACGTCAGAGCTGCCTACAATATCACAAAAGCGTGAGTATACTTTTTTTAAGGTTCTAGTTCATCAATGACACTTGAGTTTTTTTAAATACCTTTGAAATGATTCCCAGACCTAGCTGTAAATGCTATCCAGGATGTAATGAAATCAATTATAGTACAGAGATTTCACAGAGCATGTTGATGACTACATTCTACATTCCAGAAGAAATTTACAAGTTTGACAGTAGTTATTTTACGTATGGTTTTTTTCTTACAATTCAATTAATCATTGACTTAACTGACTACATTTATTTTCTAATAATTCTTAATTCACTGCTACTAGAAACAATGTGGCTATAGTTCACATATTTTACATCGATACTTCATACTTGAAATACACAAAAAATGTAATCTATGGTTTTGCTGAATTGCTGTGTGAGTTACAATTAATTTTCATTTATATAAAAATAAGCTACTCAAATGACGACTAGTTACTTTTTTTTCATGCAGCCAATACTGGTGGGATATTAGGACTCTTCTTAGGATTCAGCTTATTATCAGTAGTCGAGATATTTTATTTCTCTACAAGATTGGTGTATCGCATATTGAACCATACTACTCCAAAATCTATTAAAATAAATATCAACAATTCAGATTCGTTGAAAAATAAAAAATCTATGTATCCCTTTGCACAATAAAGCTTGTAAAAAAAATGCGACAGTCAATTTGTTTATTTTCGACTTGTCCCACGTCAAAAAGATTTCGGAGTCGTATAGGTTAGATTACTAAAAAATAAACAAGAAAACAAAACAACAACTTTTCAGCGCCTACAACTACCACGTCATGTATGATCAATATAATCGAATAATTGAAAACAATGATAAATCGTCCTACCGCATGAATCATTTTTAAGTAAATATTATTAAAATACGTAAAACAAGCATTATTTAGTTGAAGTGATGCTAACCTTTTCTGCGACTTAAAACTGAAACCGCAGTAAATCAAGAAAAAACGATATCTTGCACGCACACACACACAAAATTCTTGCGATTAAACGGCAACAGGAGACAAATGAACGAAGTTTAATTGAGTTGGGTATCAATAACAAAATCTTAATTTCATACCCAAAACATAAATACTTAAATAAAATGTTACAATATAAAACTCACCGTGAAAAATTGTGAGTATTTGAAAATCAAAACATTTCTTTTGATATCAGGTTTGATACCTTGAGCTGCACAATACACATGTCATTATCATACAAACTTGTAAGCTCCACACCAAGCACTCGCTTCTTTTTTTTTTTACACTTCACATGAAAGAAATTGCCAATTTGCTATCCTCAGGTATACTATTGCAGTAGCAGACAGGTAGTGAGTATACCTATAAGTGATATAAAAGAATTTTCTTTGATATATTTCTTTAATATCACTAGTAGTAATAAGTAGGTGTATACTATAATACTATAATAAAAAAAGTACGCTTCTATTATACTAAGGGCTTGCTTGTTGACGATGAGAGGTAAGAGGTATAAGCAGGTATATAAGGTAGAGAGGCATGACTGACGCGACACGTTTACAGTTTACAGCCGCCATTAAAACACAAAGAGACTTTACGGAAGCCCGGTCACGACATCTGCATAAAAAAAGCCTCTGATTTTATCATTCTGGTAAAGAGAGCACGGTGTAAGATGTACGTGAAGTTATGTGTAGTAATTATAGTAATCACTACTAAGTAGTGCCGTATGGTCGATTTTGTTAAACCATATTAGTAGAATATCTATACTTATGGAGGTCGATTTTCGGATCAAAGATAGATTGTACACTTGCCGCAAACAGCACAGACAACGTTAATTTTGTATTTTATATCTATAAGATTAGTTGCGGCTGGTTTATAATCGATTACATAGCTCTACTGTAAGTAGTAATAATTATTATTTGGATCAGCGCCATCTAGCGTTGCGGATTTCTGAACTAAAAAGTGGCCCTAAACTTTTGAACCAGAGCTTTAGCGCGTAGAGCCATTTAGTCAGTTATAAACCAGCCGCAACTCATGATGAAGCTATAAAATGAAAAAATAACGAGACATGTGTTTTTGGCGGCAAGTTAACAATCTATCTTTTATTCGAAAATTTATTTTCAAAAGTATAAATACATAGGAGGTCAATTTTTTGGTAAAAAATAGATTGTTAACTTGCCGCCAAAAACACATGTCTCGTTATTTTTTCATTTTATAGCTACTAGATGAGTTGCGGCTGGTTTATAATAAGCTAAGTGGCTCTAAGCGCTAAAGCTCTGGTTCAAAAGTTTAGGGCCACTTTTTAGTTCAGAAATCCGCAACGCTAGATGGCGCTGATCCAAATAATAATTATTACTACTTACAGTAGAGCTATGTAATCGATTATAAACCAGCCGCAACTAATCTTATAGATATAAAATACAAAATTAACGTTGTCTGTGCTATTTGCGGCAAGTGTACAATCTATCTTTGATCCGAAAATCGACCTCCATAAGTATAAATATACGTAGTCCAGTTCACTTTAAAAAAAAATAAAAAAAAAAAATTTAGGTAGTAGTAGTACGAACAGTGTACAGTGTACTGAGTCATAGATATATATCATATAAGTACTTATGAGTCTAGTAGAGTCTACTCATCTCTGACTGAGTGTACACGGTGTTATGTACTTATAATAAAGAGAGATGATATTGTATTCTCTATGCGTATCTCTAATGTTATACAATTATTTCCATGTTTGAAAATTCAAATTGGTTTTTAGGCACAACCAATGTATGGGAGTGCCTTAAATTTTTGTCAGAACTAAAATTATATAATTACTTATTTAAAAAGCGTACAGCTGAAATCATAATTTTGGATTTTTTTTTATTTCATATTGACAACACTCTTTTATACAATCATTCACGTATTCGTTTTTCTAGCTTCCGTTCGATTTCCATACAAAATTATTTTTTTTTAATGACAGGCTGCCTGATTTTGCCGGTTTTTGCTTGACTAATTTTATTAGTTACATCCTTTATAATGAAATAATTTACTCTTTATAAAGTAATCGAGCTTAGGTTGTGCAAAATCTGTAAATATCCAAGAACATGAGCTTGGATGAGAGAAAAAGAGTATGACGAGAAAAAGCGAATTGCAGAGACACTGGAAGACATTTGTTGTTTTTTTATGTTTAATAATAACCGTGGAAGCTTGGAATTCTATTATCTCTCTATTTTTTACTTATGAAAGAACTGAAGAAGCTGGTGTTCCCGCTTTTTAGGAATCACTACTGAAATCATGAAAAAACTCAAAATTATTTAAATTCAAATTTGTTTATTGAAATCATTGTGTTAATGTGCATAATATGAAGCGATACGTATATACATTTTGAAGATTTTGTTGTCGTTACGCCATTTTTCGGGAATGTTAATTTTTTTTTTGAAACGAGTTTCATAGATAAAAAATACTGGTAATTAACTAGTAGTACAAATGTGCCTCCTCCAGTAATTTTTTCTCTTACTCGACTGACTTAACTCAACCAAATAATGTTGAATCTCTGACATACCAATTTACTCGTTCATTCACCCATTTGTATAAGAGTAAGTTCACTTAAGCTCAAAATAAGAACATTTCTCTTGCAAGTGGAAGAACATCACTGTTTGTAACATACATATTTATTTATTCAGAAAGAAAATAATAAAACGATCTACGTTTGCACAAGGTCATACCTACCTCAGCTTCAAGTACAAATTACAGATATTTACAAGTTAAGAAAACAAAAAGCTTTCAGTTACAGAACAACTGACAGTTCTTTTCTTAGTAAACACCTTGAACTATTTATTTATAATATTCACAAAAAATACAAGTGTACTTCGATGACATAATATACGCAATAACAATTCTTAACTAAAAACGGCATTGCTTAATTTTCCTTTTTTCTCTCAAGCTATGTAGGTTAAAATCGATTAAGTAAAACAAAACAAAAATGTGTAGGTTAACTCAAATAATCGGTGTACGATTAACAGTGTGTGAAAAAATAGAGTATTGATTAGTGTTCGTATTAAAATTACGAACGAAACCAAGTTTCATTGAAAGACTAAACTAATTTGAAATACTGTAGCAGGTATCCATTTCGAATAATATTTATGTCACACGAGTTTTTAACAACTATTTTCTATGAAAGGAAAAAATGAAAGAAGAAAGAAAAATTATTCCCGATTTCTTTGTCTAGCGCTTTTCGAACGAAAATAAAAAATTTATCGATTATTTTACACTAGATTAATAATTACGGCATATTTGCTTTTTCTTTAAAAAAAATTCTATTACATGATCGAGAATTTCAATTTTTGCTTATACACAATTCTGAATTTTGTTAACTTGAGGGATATATTACACTAACAGCTTGCTCGATTCCATGTTTAACTTTTCGTTTGCAAAAAAGTTAGTGACTTATTGATTGGCCATTGTTGTCTTTATAACAAGTGAATAAGATATCAAAGTTAACATTTACACAGTCTAAGCAACTACTGATCTAACGATCGATTTATTTATATTTATTACCACGTTTTGGTAATAAGATGCCTCTAACAAACCATTCATTCGATAAGATATAACTATTATTCACTATCACCTTATTGCAGAGTTTTATCATCAAGATTCTTGAATATGTAGAAAGAGAAAAAATGCCAAAAAAAGCATAGAAGTGACAAAAGAGGAATCCAAATATTTAAATGTTTAAAAATAAGTTTATCAAACAATTTATAAAATTGTAAATAAATTTCAATGTGTAAAACCCGCTTTTAGTTGCATACTTGTCGTTTTATTATCCTGGACTTCTTTTATTATATATATATTTATATCGTATTTTATACTACTGATGTACGTACATACGTTCGCGCAGCCTTACAGTGTTATATTACATATGAATTGTTGAATCACAAAGGAATCCATTTTCCGTCAATGTTAATATATTACAGTGTCAAATGACATGTCAATCAAAATTAATATGCACAGCTTCAAGATTTGAATAGTGTAGTTAAGTTAGCAGGGAATCGTGAGTTCAAGTGAACTTTAGTTTATGATTCTTTTTATTCAAGTGCATTGACTTTCGTACTTTTTCACTTTGATTCCATACAATGGTATTCAAATACTTAGCCGTGAATACGCGGTTCGTTATTAAAAAGTAGAAAATCGTTTATAAAAAGCTTTTTTTTTTTTTACAATCAGACTAATTTTTATAAACACTTGGGAAAAACGTGTATCCACTTTACAAAATTATTTATCACAGGCGTCGATTCATTTCAATATTAATGAGTGCCTATGAGTACATTGTTAAAAAAACAAATTACATTAATTACAGTGTATTTTTTACCAGCGCAAATTCAATAGATTGTATAACAGTGCTCTAAAATTACTTAATAATTAAAATCAAGTTTTTTTTCTCCAACAATTGATACAAATTTTTTAACCCTCGATGCGCGAAATTAAATGTCTTGTGCCTTACTTTGCACATGGAGCGTTGGTTTTGCGCACTTGTTATGTAATATAATATTTTCGACGATTCACTATATATTCATATTACAACACAATTTTTTACAATGTATTGTCGATCAGTGAAAGTAGCCGTGTGTATCAAAGTATAAAATAATTAAATGTATACCTGATATGAGCTACAAATTTATAAAACTGTCCCTTAGGGGAGAGGTTCTTTTTGTAACACAATTTTTAACGTAGTTTTTAGGTATGTTGAAAATTAGAATCTGGATTCAAAGATGCACATCTCATACTATCACGATCCCCTCTCATTACAAGGAAAAAACTTATGATGACAGCGATCGTACGACGAAAAAAAAGAAGAAAAAAAATGGTTTCGTTCGTCTTGCACACGTACTCATCACTCTTGTCATATTATTCTGTTTATAAATACATCAATAATATTTGACATCGCAGCCTATAACGATGCCCGCACAAATCACGATAGGTCGACGGTTAATATTCCCTTTTTTTTCATTCTCACATTCCGTCATAATTCGTGTTCACATTCACTGGCTAGAAGCCTATCAGCATATTATTAACGTATAGAGTAGCTACGTACATTACACAATTTTTTAATTTAACTGATCAAAGCGTATCTGTTCTCAGACCTGGCACTTGTACACTTCCTCCAACATGACGGCTTGACCCTGGCCTTGGCTGACCGTCACAGGCGTCGCCGTGTTCACCACGACGACTTGTTGCTGTTGTTGGGTGGCTTGCTGCTGAGCTTGTTGTTGGTTGTTGTTAGCTTGGGCGTTGCTTGAGTTGGCGTTGCTATTGCGCGCTGCCGTCTGGCCGTACTTCTCGTGAATGGCTCGGTGACGCTTCAGAGCGAAACGGTCCGAAAAACCGATCTCACAGATGTCACATCTACGTGAGTTGGGATAAAAGGAGACGTGCAATGAGTGGTAGTGTGAATTTTCGTTCACTCTACTATATATTTTATGTAAGCGGATAAATAGATCAGTGTCTTTTTGCCTCTTACTTTTTTTGACTTTTTAATAGACGCAAACACTGCCAATTCAGTTTTAGAGTTTTTTTTTGTATGTTAGTTTTTTTTTTTTTTTTCCTTCTGTTAGAGTACCAGTGTGAGTTTACTGGCAGAAGACTTTTATTCTAGTGATAATAAAAAGTCCCAATGATTTTGGAACCAGTGCCTGGACGGTAATTTGGTAAAAAATATTAGTTTGCATAGATTTTAAGAAAAATTAATAACTATGGTTATTTTTTTTCATTGCCCCAAATAGGATATGAAAAAGTAAGTAATTGAGATGAATAACGGAATGAACTAATAAACAATTTGTTGAATTATGCAATGGGTTCATATTATTTTGTCGATTGGCACCACTGTATGAATAATTGTGGTAATAAGGCCGAAATCGGTTTTTAAAAATTTTCTAGGTAATTGAAACCTCGTGTAATATTACAAGCCAACAATAATTGACTCATTATCCCTGAAATAAGAAAACAATAAAAAAAAACTTAATGATGATTAATAAAAATCCTAAAAATTGGTAAAAATAAATATAAAATATAATCCTAAACGTTATCTAAGCATTCAAGTGAAATGAAATTGTGTCCAGGCAATGGGTCTTAGATATCAAAGTAATAGATGAATATTTCGCTAATATCTCCAGAAATTTTATGAATCTTCACAAAAGAGGTAAAAGCGCAAAAATACATTTATCTGGTTCAAGTTATCAGATTTATCACCAAATTGAATTGAAAACTCCAAGTTTCAACTATTGGATAAGAAAGGCTTCTTAATGCCTCTTAGCAATTTGATTGCACAGTGATAAATTCTGTTTCAATATTGTATCTCTGTAATATTAGTGAAAGTAGGTTTGTACTGAATGCATTTCTGGCTTTTACCTACCTCGTGGAAGATCCTCTAGGTTGGCGACGCCTACGAGTAATATTGCAAATTAGCAAAATTTTTAAACTTTACTGAACTATATTTTATTTTGAACGTTTTTAAAATTACTTTTAAATTAATATAATTCGATTTATTCAGCGAAATGTTTAGCTACATTAACATTGAACACATTAACAATATCTTTTGTAAGAAAAGCAATAAAAAAGAAAAGGCAATTTATCATTTGTTAGTTGCTCGAAGTACTAAGCTGTAACGTCAATAAGGACAAAACGTATTTTTTTCGGGTCGCATAAATACATATGGAAATAATTAAAAAAAAAAAAAAAAATTTAATTTTGTTTTTTTTTCCACATATCAAGAAGAACTTTTACACTACTATTTGTTTTTTTCACCACATGTACAATGTTAGAAGTTATGTTGCTTGAATACACACACCAAGTATATTGTATATTATTAATAAATTAGAAAATGTATACAATGCAAAATTTGTTTACATAACTACATGCAACACATTTATGAAGAAATCAATATATGTTAGAAATGCAGATAGCTAACAATATATATTTTCGTGCTTTGCAGGACACACTTCTAATGGACAAAAATAATGAATTAGATCAAATAATGATGTTATGATGAAAGAATCAAAGTTTTCTCTTATTTTACTTGGTAAATAACACATATTTAAATAAAAAAGTGCATGCTTCAGGTTAAAAAAAAATACAGGCCTTACGAAGCAGTATGCCATGTACTTAACGGTTCAAAAAATAATAGAAAAGATGAATAAGCTGTTATGTGCGCGTCATTTCATTGGCATTTTTTGCGTCTACAAAAAGCGTGATGAGTCTGAATTTGATGAAGCTGATTTTGGTGTGGCATCGGCAAGTAACGTTACCTGTGTGGTTTTTCTCCCGTATGGACCTTGGCGTGATTCTTGAGATGTGTCGCTTGATTGAACGCTGACCCACAGGTGTTGCATCGATATGGCTTCTCGCCTGTATGAATCCTGCGATGATTCCAGAGAGTCGAGTGCCTAGCAAACGTCTTTTCGCAAACTTCACACTGATACGGGCGTTCACCCGAATGTATGCGTTCGTGATTCTTTAAATGCGGTGACTGTGAAAATTGCATTCCACAATGGCTGCACTTAAAAGGTTTCTCTCCCGTATGTACACGACCGTGGTTCTTCAAATACGCAGCTAAAATTAAGAAAATCGTTATATAAGGTTTTTAGGGACATAGGGGACTAGTGTTGATATTGAGCTGTGGCGATTTTTTTCTCAATCCTTACCCTTGGCGAAGGCTAGGCCGCAGACTTCGCACTTGAACGGTTTGTCACCCGAGTGCAATCTTTTATGAGACCATAGCGAGGAATACCTAGAAAATGTACCGTCGCACACGTTACAGTGAAACGGCTTTTCCTGTTGTTGGCTGTTCGCCTTTCCGCCTGGAATTTGAAAAACACAAACCGGGCAATTAGTTTTCCTCAAAAGGGCCAGTTCTACAAAAAAGATTTATGCTCGACGTGGATTTTTCATGGATTTTTTTTTGTTTTTTCTTTTGTTTCTATTGCGAGTCACGACATAATGTAATAATATCGGGCTATTCTCGATCAAAAGTAACTTTTGCGATACGCACTTAAAGAGGAGCTATAGATTTTAATAATAGTTTTTTTTAATAAAATAATATTTATATGTAAATTTAATGAAATACTGAAAATTTGTGTAACTTAAAAGTGTTTTCGAAAAGTTTTGTAGCTAGTTTTGTTATTTCATTTTTTTTTTTTAATCGAATTTTGATAAAATCTATAGTAAAATTTAGGTACAAACTCCTTCTTTGAATTGTATCGAGAAAGAACAAATACTCAACTGAGTTGTAAAAAATTTTGGTCCACGAGCAAACGTTCGAGTGTTGATTCGTTCGAGTATCAAATTTATAAAACTGTCCCTTAGGGGAGAGGTTTTGTACTGTGAAATTTGCTTAAATTTAGATGCTGACAGTTGTAACCAAAACAGAAATAAAATTATTAAATTATAAAATATTTTAATTATGATCTAATGACATATCAAGTATGATTAATGTTCTTTTGCACCGATATATTTAATGTAAATATTGTCAAAAAAAAGAAAAACAAAAAATTAGCATTTGAAGATCGTTACTGCAGAACATTAAAAATACTTGATCGCTACATGAATACTATCAATATACTTTAAATATAATGTTCATACTTAAAAATCAACTATCTACAACACAAGAGGCATGCAAAAAATCATATACTTTGATTTTATTGTACTTGCACGATTGCAGAGAAAAATTTTGTAACAGTATATTAAGTCAATCAAATGTTTTTTCAGTACTGTTAAATTTGCTACAAATTTTTTTTCTCAACAGGAAATGAAACCCAGTAAATCTTTCAAGTAACATTAGGTGGCTACAAAAGTAGAACAATAGTATTAACACTTTTAAAACTAAAAAGAAAAAAATAACTCAGCAATAAAAAAGAGAAAATAAAAGACAAACTGTCAAAGAAAAAGTCAAACTCAGAGATACAATTATAGTAAAATAAATTAAAAGTTACCAGAACTGTCACCATCTAGACATACCGATAGGGATTTCTTTATTAATTTTTAAGAAAAAAAAAAAAAGAAAAAAAAGTGAAAAATAGTAAGTATAAATTTTACAAGAGAATTATGCAAGAAAAAGAGATCCCAAACAATTTCTTGGCTATGATTTTTTTTATCCAACTTACTTCCTATGATGATACGGCCCGTTGCCTTGCAGCCGGTACACTTCGCGAGGGAACAGTTTCCGGATTCAAGTTTTTCGTTGTGTTTACCTACCATACACCACCCGATGTACGATCATGACAGCAATGAAATGAGAAATGGAGGAAAAACGGCCAAGTGCCTCGTAAGAAATGCTACTATTGTTTAGGCGTAATCAATAAATTTAAAAGTGCCTGATTTTTTGACAAAATTCACAATGTTTATCCATTCAAATTATAATACTGATTTTTAATTTCTTATTTTGAACAATTCAATAAAAAAGCAATGTTTGACAAACGTGTAAATCATAACATTTTTACCAAACTTCATTTTTTAAATCATATTTTCAGAATTTTACTAGCAGATAAGCGAGAAATGATTTTATTGTTTATATTTTAGTCTTTTATAGAAAAGCGATCACGAAAAATTGAAGCAGATTAAAAGACTTGATATTGTCATCTAATCAATAGTAACATTTTTTACGTTCATAATTTCAAAAAAAAATCAACTATGCTTACCAATGAATATAATGCCCGTGCCGTTGCACTTATGACATTTGGTAACACTGGTTACACCACGCCGCTTCACCGGATGATGACCTGGTTTAATAGCTATAATAAAAAAAAAAAAAAAGATGTGAACTCTCAGTTGTTTATATTAATTAACACTAACATGAGGTTTGATAACTCACTCTTCTTAACTTTAGTTGGATGATGTTCACAAGGGTCCTCACTGCCGCACTCGTCGCAAAACTGAACCTTGGGCTTTGGATGCATGTTTGTTTTGTGGCTTTTTAATTCCCCAGGTAGTGCAAAGCAGGCACCACAAGTGTCACACGTGTGCGGCCGTTCTGGTGTAGTGGCAACAGTGACCGTCGTCGGCGTTTGAACACCAACCTGTGAAGGTTGCTGCTGCTGGTTACTCGGAGTAGTATTGTGGATGCGTTTGTGATGATTGAGCAAACTACTGTGGCCAAAAACGAGGTTGCACGTGTCACACGTAAAGGTCGTCGTGAGGTTCATCTGATTGATAATGGTGTTGTAGCCCACTGCAGCGACTGGCTGCACATCGAAACGATAGCAACCCTTGTCGTCTGTCGTAATTGCTCCAATGGTCCCAACGGTGTTTCCTTGCACCTTTTGTAACATATTTACGTTGTAATAGAACGGAAATTCTGCGGTTGTTGTTTGTTGGCCAGACTTCTCTTCTTTTTTATCGGTAGTCACGTACATCTGTTGAGCTTGCTGTTGTGTCTGTTGACCCTGAGCAGTTTGCTGCTGTATTTGTTGAGGGTCGAACATTGTTATTTGCTGAGACTGTGGAAAAATTATGACGCATCAAATTAAAAAAGTTTTTTTCTCTTGACATTGTAAATTCAGGATAAGGCAGATGTAATTATGTATACGTCGAATAATTTTCAACAACTTGGAAGCAAAACGTTTATTGTACAGAAAAATAACTATATCCTCAAAATTTGTTAAACTAGTAGGTGAAATAATAAAAAGTCTCACCTGCCGCTGATCTGTGTAGCTGGAGTTGCTTTGCTCAGTCTGCGTAAAGCTGTTGGTTTGCTCTGTTTGGGTAAACATCGAGCACTTTACTGGTGCCTGGGTCAATTGGGCCTGTTCAACATAAGAGTTTCATAATTATTAGGTGTACTTTTAATTTTTATTCATTTATTTATGCTATCCATGGACCCAGTATTGGTGTAAAATTAAGAACATCAATAAAATTTGAGTGTGACTTGAAAAAAGTAAAAAATAATGAGTTCTCTGTTGGGACTGTGTAAGTTTTTGAAAATCTGTACTGTACTTCTGTTTGTCCCATTACTCTCACGATATGCATACCTGCTGTACTTGTTCCGCTCGAGTTGTGCTTAACCATACCACGTTGCTACCATTTGATTCTAGAGCCATTGATGTGCTGTCCTTTTTTTATCCTGAACAATCAACAGGCAATAACTACGTTACTTACATTGATAGAGAAAACCCATAATTTTATTTCTCTTTCACTTTTAGTCATAGCTACAGTCTTACATTTATGTTAATAGTTGTTAAAAGCTCAAGTCACTGGTACTCAATTAGTTACTAAGTTACATTAGAGCAGAGTTTAGATGAGCGCAGAAATAATGAGATGTTCTCTGCCTGATAAATCTAAAATAGGGCACTAATTTTAGAAGTATTTAAATAAAGACCTTGTGATCAGTTACACAGAAATCACTGTAAATTTAAAAATACTATATTTAAGTTTCAAAGACACTGGTTTGTAGTGTTTAATTTTTTTTACAGCAGAAATATGCATCAAGTATATAAAATTTTAAGTAAAAGCCATTAATGAGTACATGTATCATAGAAAATTTGATCAATAAAATGAAATTGAAGACCGAAATATTTTGTTTCTATAGTTGTGATATTAAATAAAATTTTTATATAAATATAAATTTTTAAAAATAATTCATATTCGTGTTATTGATTTATGGAATCTTGAACTTATTAATTTTGTGTTTGTGGCTGAATTATGTACCTGTTAACTCTACACTGACTGTTTCTCTAGCTTTAACTCATCTGTCAATGTGTTATCAATTTGTAGAGCTACAAATAATTTTTGCACTGAATTTAGCAAAACATTTTTTTCAATCTTGCACTGTAACACAATGTATGACAAATTCAATCACTGTATCTTATAACCACTTGGGATAAATGCAAAATACGTTTGTATTTTCACCATATTTCTTGTAAACATTGTAGTAAAATGATGTATATAGAATAGAATGTGAGTACAGTGTACAGCAGATATGCGACAAACAAGAAGCAAATGTGTAACAGATCTTGAAGTTATCACCGCAACATGATAACAAAAACAAATTTTCAATGCTACACATATGTGGACTTTTAACACTCAACACTTGCCAGTTCTCTCTCTCTCTCTTCCTACAAAAGTAGGTCCTTGACAGAGTAGCCCACATATCTTTGAACATTCACTTGCTCAAAACATACGTAATAATATTTAAAAAATAATCTTGACACCCACATTTACTAAGTACACATATTAAAATAAGCAAGTTGAGAAAGGTGAAAGAGGAAAAAGTTTAAAGCAAGTAGAAAGAGGAAATACAAATAAACATGTGGGACTAGAAAGAGTAGTTCAAAACACACACGATGGAAGAGCGAAACGGAGCAGATGAGCAAAAGAGAGAGAAAAGAAGTAAGTACATAATCGTTTGGCGTACCAAGGAGCGAGAGAATAAGGAAAAGAGCTCAAACGAAGTGACGTGCGTGCATTGCACACGTCTGCTGTCGAGGAAGCGAGATGCACCATTGAGGGAAAAAGGAGAACACAAGTGTGAGAAGAGAGCGGGCAAATAAACGGAGCGCGGAACAGTACCGTTTTTCCTTTTCTCATCCGGAGAGCCAGAATGAGAGAGAGATGGTGCTAAAATGTCTCTCTACACAAATTTACCGCACAGCTCTTTTGCCATGCATCCAGCAGTAGCCCCTGGATGTACATACATGTAGAAGCTAGAAAGAGGGAAAAAAGAGAGCACCCACCTTGCCCTATAGCTATACATGTATGTGTGTATTTATATACACATTATCCCAAGATAGAAGAGAAGCAGGAGCTGCAGAGAGAAAGAGACAAAAAGGGGCTCAGGTACAAATATACGTACTCTTGTGTGCGTGTATGGGGTATGTTTTCTTCTTCTGCTTCTGTGGCCGTCGTCTGGTGTACGTGTATGTACAGAAGAGAGAGAGGCACCAGGGAGCACTACTATAGTACTCGTAGAAAGAAGAAGAAAGAGCGAAAGAGAGAGAGAGAGAGAGAGAGAGAGCTAATACTATCCGTTTGACACTGCCTTGCCGCGGATGGATATGTATACAGGCATCTACCTACCTAGCTAGCACAGTAGACTTTGGCTTCAGCTTTCGCCCGGGCTCTAAACAGAGAAAGAAAATGGCCGACCAGCCGAGCGAGACGGAGGATGTATCGGGGCCTCGCTCGCTCGCGTGGGCGTGATACGAGAGCTTAAAAGTGAGCTGTAGCTCCCGACCCAGCCAGAAGCCAGACAGAGAAGGACGCCTGTATCACTGCTGCTCCGAAATCGACTGGGTAGACTCTCCTCTCTCCGCTGCCCACCGAACTCCATCCCTTCCTCCTCTAGTGACTGAGCGGCCTTCTCTTTTCCACCGATGTTTTCCCCCTGTTACTGCCTATACGAGGAGCGAAAGAGCTACCAAAGCGTCGTCGTCCCCCTTTTTTTATCGGCTCTACTTTGGGCGTGACGAGGACAGATTCACGGGTGCGTGGCGTGTACATGTGAGCTACACAGTTAGAGGACAGATACACAGGGGCAAATGCCCACTTTAGAGACACAGATAAAACTAGTTGTTGCGTGAAAAGGATAGAGCCATTTTTGTCATACACTTTAAAAGTGTGTGTGTGTGTGTGTGTGTGTGTGAATGCCTGATGACTGAGGTGTGAGTGCGTACAATACATGTAAATGTACAGAGAACAGCAACAGCTGCAGTCTACACGATATCGTTTGCATGAGTGTTTATTCTGTTCTGCTACTTGTGTGTATTATATGTATACACGCAGGGGAACGAGTAATGATTTGATAAACCCAGTGGCTCCGAATCATGGCTTCATGCGGGCACGCACATACCTACTTACTCGTACGACGTGTGTATCAGGGAACAATGTACGTTTTAAACTAGTGACATATGGATATGCTTGATACGCCATACGCTCAATGCAGTATTGTTGTAAAGTATGATGCGTGAGGAAAGAATAGATAATGGCTCAAATCAATTATGATAGATAAGGAGCCAAGAGAAATAAAAATGAAAACATGTGGGCCACAACGAAGTCAGGCCGATGCACAAATGCTGTGTAGTACGTGGACTAGCTGTCGTGTGGGTAAGGCACAGAGAGAGGGTCGATTAACGTGTACATGGAGAACGTAGCGGTGAAAAAGCAAAGTAGAAAAGAAGACGGAGAGATAGCATTGAAGTAATATAGGGAGAAAAGAGAGAGAATGGAGAGTTTGAGGAAGGAAGAAAGAGAGAAAGAGACGCGTAGAGCATCATACGTAAGAGCAAGTGGGTATAGCGACTTCTATCAGTATACAGAGCAGAGTAGAGCACGTATACAAAAGAGAGACGGGTAAAGACAGATAAAGGGAGAGAAAGAGACTGACAGGGAGGTGGGGAAACGAAGCAGAAAGAGAAAGAGAATGCAGGGAGAGAACACGCCGCGAGAGAAAACGAGAGAAAATAGAAGGTTGGTAGGTGGTAGTTGTAGTATAGTAGAGTGAAAGAGCCAGTCTCTCGCTACTACAAGAGAAGCCACGACTCACATGAGACGACGCAGCCAGCAGTATAACTCAGTCTCTCGTTCGATCTGTGGTTCGCGTGCTTATCTTCTCGCAGCAGTCCTCTCCGAGTTGGTGTGCTTGCCGTTCTCAGTCAGTTGCACTAGGTCCCTCCGATGATTACTGACTCCGAAACGGTGCTCCGTTGCTCGCGTCCAGTCATGTCGTCGACGACGAAGATTCTTTTCCTCACCCAAGACCAAGCAGGCAACTTCAGCAGCCAAGGACGAGCACGGGGACTATGTGTTACAAGAGAATGCAAATGTTAATACACCACGATATGATGATAATAACAACAATGATAATGTAAACGCATGCTCGCCCGGAGCACTCGCTCTGTCTCGCTTCTCGCGGTTGCATGCAAAGCTGGTCTGCTCGACCCGGGAACCCGGAGCGAGAGAGACAGGATGATCAGCTCGTGTAAGTGTGTGTGTGCGTGTACGTGCGTGCGTGTTTACGTGCATGCACGTAGATACGATGTAACTGTATCTAGAACTCTTGTCGTCCTCGGTTTGGTGGGGTGAGAGTGAGGATATGAGACAAGACAAGAGCCCGCGCGCGCGCGCGCCTGTGCTCCGTTCTGTTCTGGGAGATAAAAAAAAGCCGGTGCGTAAACACCGTAAACTGCAAATATGCACGCTGAGGGTGGTTTTCTTTCTGGCAAGCATTTCCCCAACTGTTTGCTTTTGCCTGATGCTATTTTGTTATTGATTGTTATGATAGAAAAAAATAATTTGCGGGTTGGTACGTACAGATGCATTTGTGCAAAACAAGTGGGATTGAACATCATTCGAAATAACTATTACTAATACTCCCAAATAAGCTTTGACGTTTATCATCATTATCATAAAACGAGCGCATATTCTTGTATTTTTGGAGAGCAACCGATGCGCGCGACTCCATAGCTGCGCGTAGCCCATTTGCGCATTCTACAAAATTTAACGCGCAAAGAAATGAGGTTAGGTTGACCTTTGCATGCAACGACGACGAAACCAGGTATACGAACTATTTTTATCGTGATTTTGAACTTATTAAATAGTTTTTCTTGCATCAAGCAGGATTATAATGCATGCACTGATAAACAAATATTTAAAAAAGCAGTAATGAAAGAGCGCGAATCTCATTGTGGTATCCTTTTTTTCTGTGACAGGGAGAAAACACTTGCGGTACATGAAAAACAATCGTAAGGCCAATCGATGTCTACGCAATATAAAAATACCAACGAAGCAACGACATGCATGTGTATAATAATGTTCATAGTAAATGGGTTACGTATGTTATACGTACAAATTTCGTCTGTGGGTGCACACGCGTTACGTATTTAACATATATACGTGTACACGCAGAAGGCGAATGAGAAACAGCAACGTCGAGATCAGGTCGTCTCTTTTTCTCTCTTCGTGGGGTCGTCGTCTCTTCTCCGACCGCCTGCCCGGACTCCCTTATTTTGGCTCTCTCGAGGCTGCTGTCTTCCGTCTTCGTCCCGTACACGGGTCAAGCTTGGGGGCTACTTGAAACTGTGGCTCTGTCTTCGTTGAACGCGTCTCACCGTCGCTACGTCCATATGAGTTTTCCGTCCGGCATATATGGCGTCGTCCTTGTTCCACTTGCAGCTATTTCTTTCTATCGGAGAGCAGTGTCGCTGTCCTCGTTTGGCCGCTGAACCCGAGCAACTGACAGAGACGGCAGAGAGCAACGAAGAGAAGGCGACACTCGCTCTCGTCCCTCATTGGTTGGTAAAAGAGAGCGGGAGGCCGAGCCTGCGCAATGCGCACGCATGTGCTGCTACGCCAGGATGCTCTCTCAGTGCATACACCTTTTGGCGGCGCGATCGGCGGTAGTTGAGGGTGACTTTTGATGCATGGGGTGGGGGTTACAAAATGGCCAGGGAGGGGAGGGAGAGAAATTGGGTAAGGTCTGTTCTCTCGCTAAAAGATGACGCGACACGATACCGGTTCGTCACCTTACGAGTGAGGCAGTTATTTCCTTTTTTCAAACAAAAATTCGACAAACCAGATACTTAATGTTGTGTTGAACTTGAATACTTTCAATTGATTTGGCTTAATAATAAATGGTAGGTTTATTTTCAAAAATTCGTTAACACTGTCTTATCCCACGTGGGGAGGGAAATTTAAACACCAATCACGATGATGTCCCGAATCAGATGAAAATTTCTCTGAAATCTTCGATTTTTAATAAGCTGTTAAATGTCCCGTTAAACCGAAAAACTAACGTTTCTGTTTTAAATATTCCTTTTAAAATAATCGCTACGTAAAGGTACTACTCGTATATTATCTCCCTTTGTAGTAATTTTTCCAACTGATGCATAATATCGAATAATGCATGCAATGTTTTACTACTGTAAAATTTAAACAAAATAAATCGACATAAATATGAAATGTTCAATATTTGTGGTAAAATAAAATATATACTAGATTAATATTTATTGCAAATAAAATAATTTAAAACGGTGGATAAAAAAAATCTGCACGGCACGAGGAAAACTTGCTCTCGGTGCCTTTCGGGTGGATGTATAAAACCAGTGGTTGAAATTCCAAAGGAAACAATTGCAAAGGGTATATTCTTGGGTTTCCTTGAATATTGCTTCTTTGTGACTCACGTAAAATGCCCCCGATACGACAAAAAGATTATATGTAAGGATCTTGGAAGTAACAAAAAAATGGTAAATGTCACAAACAGCTGGTTTTTTTTTTTTTTTTTTTTTTTTATGTAAAAGTACAATTCAAAGAAAAGCTTGTTCTCTTTGGAAAAGGAAAGCCGAGCAAAAGTGGGCGATATAAAAGTCGGTCTTTGCGTTTGTATCTTTATTTTCAACCGGACATACGAATGACGACTCTTTGTAGTTTATATCTCGAAAAAAAAAAAAAAAAATTATTATTATCATAACAATTAAATTTACTTGAATAAGTCTATGATAAAAACCGTACAAGAAAATGAAGGATTTTTAATAAAAGTGGAATCCCAACTTGTATATTTCTCGCGCTTTTCACTAAAAAGCTTCAATAAAAATCTCGCACAATAGAAAACTTTGTTCTCTTTGCACGATTGTTCCAAGCATATACCTTGTACATTTTTCATTTCCTATTTGACTATTCGCGAAAATTCTCGCTCCGAGTGCAATGGGGAAAAAAAATCTCCGAGCTGAATATCATCCCTCCAAAGAGGCAAAAGAAAAAATAAGTTACCAATCCTCGCGTTACCTGCGCGTGATGTGTCATAAATACTTACCTGCACGCGCGCCAATGCCGAATCATGTCAGACTCGATGACCTATATAGGTATATACATACTGCAGCTCGGCGTCTGATCGAAAACGCATATTTCTACTTCCACCGTATATTATACTATCCGTCCTCGCGCTCGAGTGTTGGACCAAATGAGAATTCGCTCGTGCGAGAGAGGAATGCTTATCAGGGGTGCGAATAAAATCTTGTGCAAACTAATGAGGATTATGAGCCAAGCTTTATGGAAAATAAAGCCACACCTGTAATATATGTGTATTTTAATTAGACCCCGAAACTCTACGATTGTGTGGCCGCAAAATCGATTTTTCTGCGATATATAATGCATACCACTGACAAGAGCTTTTTTCACGTTTTTTTTCCCTCTCTCTCTCGATTTGCAACCTGAGATGAATTTTTTTTTCCGAGTTTTAATATTATTTATTCTCAGGAACACTCTGTATGTACACTTTTTTTTTATTTTACAAACACTCTGACGGCTATACTGGAATTCAACACGATATTCAGTTTGATATTTGACGGAATGAAGTTACGTCGAGTTTGCCGATTCATCCCAAAGCTCGGAATATTTTCATGGTAATCCAATTAAAATCGTCCTCATTAAAATTTCCCAGCAACTAGGTACTTTTTTTCTGAATTGAGTAAAGACTTCCCGACGAATCTTGAAAGCCAAATCGATCCACACTTTGCTTGGAATAAATTCAAATTAACGTTTTATTTACTATATTTTATAGTGGCTCCAATCCAATAGACTGTTGTAATCCATATTATTGAAAATTAAAAAAAAAAAATGCCATTGGTTCATTATCACCAATTGAATTCAACACCATTTTATCGAGTGCTATTGTGGGAAGAATTAAATTATACACTTTCAGCTTACTGATTATCATTTTACTACGACCCGACGCGTGTCGTCAAAGTCCGTTGTTATATGTGGCCGGCAACTGTACTTATCGCATCGAACGAGACAACGTAAAATATGTATATTGAAGCTCCGTTGGGTAAGTATTTGCGATTTTAATCACACAAGACTCTGGTTTGATGACGCTGGAAGCGTCTGGTACTATTGTACGGGCACACGTTTCAAACAAGGAACAATCGAACAAGAAGAATGAAAGAAAAAAAAAAAAAAAAAAACTATCGGGCACGGATTTGTTAATCGCTTTTCATGCTCTGGCTTTGCCCACGATTCGTTTGACGATTAAAAAGGACGAAGGACCCTATATGGGCTTACATTCATTTCAGACCTGAGCTGATCCTTCGTTAAAAATAAAAATCCCTCATTCACGTCCATAGATCGTATAACGAGGTAAAGGCAAGATAGATCGGGAGTAGAATTTTCACGCGTGTAAGTGCCTGTGTAAAAAAAAAGAGAAGGTAAAGGTGAGTATGGAAAAAATCTCTCCTTTTGAGTTTTAAACGAAGCGCAAGGAATGGAAGGATTAATACAACGCGATGAGATATGCTCTTTGAATTTTATCACGATTATACTTTCGACGAAATCAACGAACACCCTATTCGGGCTTTAGACTGGCGTAACAAGGTAATGGCGGATTTTTAAGAAAAAAAAAAAAAAAAAAAAAAATAGTAATATAAAAAAATACATTATTTTATTGAACAGTTAAAAGTTTAATGCAAGTAAAATAAAATGCACCAGAAAGTTACACAATTTGCGGTGGTGAAAAAATTTTTTTTCTACCGACCTAATAAATATACATATTGATACCGAACGGAAGAACGACTTTACAAACTGTTCATTGTAAAAAGTTTTATTTTCTTTTTAGCGCCTTGATTTTTTTCCCCTCACGAAATCTCATTAATTTTTAGGCTTGAAAAAACTTATCGCGTAATTTTTTTCTCTCTTTTTTAAATTAACTTTAATCGATAGTGCAATCTTAGATATTAGTTTCGTTGAGTCCTTTGTTAACTCGAAGACGATTTGAAAACTCATTTTCATGTAAATGTCACGACTCATTTGTATTTTATGCTCGATTATCACATACTTTAACAGTTGGGAGCTGAACATTTTCAGACTCCCCCGTTACGTAACGTCACTCGGCATAAAAATAAGCCAAATAAGAAAATGAGGCCTCACCTGAATTTTTTGAAAATTAATACTCACGTAATGTTGACCTGCCCCCAAACGTGTCGAATATTAAAAAAATACTTTAATAAAGTTTCACAATACTGACAACGTAATTTTTTGCTGAATGATAATTCATGTGGTGTAACAATTGTTTCCGACACATTTAAAGTGTCGTCTGTGAATCGCGTTAATCTTCACGTGCGAAAATTACGTGCTGCCACTTGAACGACAACGCAATACAGTGGATTTTCGTCCTGTACGTTGAAAAATCCGCATTCACCAACAGCAACGTCTCATCGAATTATTCGTGCAAAGAATAACGCCCCAAACAAACAATTGGATTGACAAGTACTCTAAGCCCAACTGTTGAAGCTACACGTGTGAGAAACAATTAATTAATTTATTTCATCGCAAATCGCTTTTGATCGTCCATCCTTTTTCATAGCTCAAAAAAAACTGTGACTCACGGCGCACCGCTTGGCTTCGCATGTTCGTTCTTCAGTGCTGGACGGACGCTCGTACGTGGAACAAGCCAGTTGGACCCTCCATATGTACCACATAATCGCACGCACGAACCAACGCTGTCGTTTGAACAATAGCCTAACGTTCAAAGGCAACCAACTTGAGTTGTAGACTATAGAAATGCTGCTGACACGTGGGCTCGGTGGGCTTGGCCCTCGTTGACGCCCATCAACTCGCGTGGAACTACACGGACCAGCCCAACAAAGAAATGCATCACGGGCGATTCGAGGCCATCAGATTTTGAAAGGACAACATGTACGTGGCCATGAACCGGTTCTGGGTCTGGACCGAAATGAGTTTTACGCTAGCTGTAGTCCTTACCTCGGCCATCGACAACGGCAAGATGAACGGCTCGCTCGAACCGTACCCCGATTGGGATATGCAGAACAGCAACCACTGCTCGAGCTTTCAGTCCGTCCAAAGTATGGAGATAGACCTGGCGGGCAGAATGTGGCTCCTGGACAGTGGACTGTACAATCGTGTTCAGTGCTCGGCTAGTTTGATGATTCTCGACCTCGAGGACGGGGGCAGGCTACTCACGAACTACACTTTTCCTGCGGCAGTGGCCAGTCCAGGGAAAGCCAAGCTCGATGACATGGTGCTGGACCACGAGGACGGAGGTTTCGCGTACATCATCGACAACTACGAGTCGAGCTTGATCGTGTTTTCGCTGCGGGATTTCACCTCGTGGAAAATCGAGAAGAGCTACGTCGACGTACTGGCGCTGTCGCCGGCGTCGAGGAAAGGCCACCGAGTGCTCTACTACGTGTCCTTGTTCGAGGATAAGTTACTCGAGGTGCCAACCCACGTGCTCAAGACTGGAAAAGTACGGGGTCACATCAGCCAGGTGGCCAAGGAGTTGGCCGTGATGGCACACACGACGACGCCAATATGGACCGGCATGACCATGTCCAACACCGGCAGTATGTTTCTCACTGCGCAAAACCGGTCCATCTACGAGTTGAAGTCAAACATCGTGCTCGGCGATTCTGGTGTGTCTTGGTCGTTTGCTTCGCAACAAAAGTACGAGTGGACCAAGAATTTCCGTCACTCGTTGCGCAGCCCGACCTTCGACGAGAAGAGCAACCTTTGGTTCATCGGGTCCATGTTTTCGGGAAACCTGGCTAGTGTACCCCTGGACGTCAAAATGAAAAATTATCAGTACTACGAGAACGGCACTGCACCGAAATTGCCTTTCATCGCTGACTAACGTAGCGTCGATCTGCCAATAGTACATTGCTCGTCACGATTAAGCAAATTTTGAGGAAATAAGAAGACAAGACATTTATACATGCAATATACCCTTTTCAGACTATGATGTACCCTTTGTTTTCAATCCATATATATTATTTTTTGTCCTCTCGGTCTGGAAATAAAAAAGATGTTTGTCCATGCGCATGACTTGATAATTGTTTGTTTCCGTTTCCCAAATTATATTTTTCACAAATTCATTCCTCAACACGATTACTCAAGAATTTCCACTAGTTTTACAGATTAACAGACTCGTCTTGTAAGTATATACCAATGCTAAAATTTCGAAAGCAATTTCAATAATTTTTTCATCAAAGACAAAGAAATAAAAAAAACAACAGGACCGTTAATCACTTGAATCGAGCCTTTGATTCCTCCTTTGGATGTTCGTATCCTCTCTCTTCGAGCATCATCGTCGGTATACACAGGTATATGCACTTGGACGATGAGTACACCATATCAAAATAGACAAGAAAATTATCATTAGAAATATCGAAACTATTTCAAGATTGAGTGCATACTTACTTTTCGGCCGGAAGATAAAAAAAACGAATAAAAAAATTACCACAAATTTCTTCATTGAATCAACGCGTCAAGTATATACATTGGTTGTTCCTATAAATCGAGACCGATGCATCGTCGAAATTTTCAATAGCCGCGTTACTGCAGTTACCGTTTGTGTATCTGTGTATGTATAATATTATGTATACTAACTGCCAATAAATTGGAGTTCAAAAAGGGATCGATATAGAACGCAACAGGTATATTGCTCTACCATGAAACGCCGACGACCTATATATGTATATGATGTATACGGTGTACACACGTGTGAGCAATCAATGGGATAAATTTGCTTGAGAAATTTAATTTTTTAGGCATAAAAAAACAAAAAGGGTACAACATGTGAGGGAATTCTATATATTTTTTTTCGTTTCCACGAATCAATACTATAAGTCTATTTGCCATTATTGTTTTTCACCGTATTTGGATAAAAATAAAAAGCGTTGAAATAAAAACTGCGTATATCAATCGATAAATATTTATCGAGCTCGGAGACGAGACATATATCGTTGATATCGTCATTTAGAAAAAAAAAAAAAAAAAAAAAAAAAAAAAAAAAAAAAAAAAAAAAAAAAAAAAAAAA